ATAAGAGCTTAAGGGAACATCTTCACAGCCCTACGTTTTTAGGAAATGGTCTTTAACCAATAACTATTAGAGACATTTCCTCCTAGCTGTAGAAAGGATTTGTTTACTTTTAGAGCTTTTTTTTTTTGAGAATATGAGCTGTTTAGTTGTGGGGTATTGGGTTGTCTCCTTTTACTTCAAAAGCATGAACCTTTGAAAGTCACATAAATGGCGTCTATTATTATTATTTTTTTATAAATACTCACCGCAGTTTCAGAAGTATATCAAGTCTTATATTGATTAGAATTAACTTTTTAAATTTTTAAAGACATTCCCAGCTTCAGACCTTAGCTTTCTTATCCTCAACCAATAAGTGGCTCTTCATTTTCTGTGGCCCATGAGAAAGGTGGCTCACAGGTGCTCCTAAGAACACTCACCCGCATCTGTGTTTCTGACCGGCACTCATCCAACAGTTATCAAGCAATTATGTGTCAGGCACTGAGCAAAGGGCTTAGCATAAAAGGGGGCTTGCTGGGTTGTTTTGTGTCTTAATAATAGATGAGTATTATAATCCTCACAAATAAATAAATAAATAAGCCGGGCAAACAAAAAATTACATTTCCTGTTAGGATACCAACTTTATAGTCATTATATCTGAGGCAATGGTAACAATAAAAAGACCAAATCGTTGCCCTGGTAGGTGTTCTCAGTGGTTAGAGCCTCTGGCCCAATCACCAAAGGGTCTTGGGTTCACTCCTGACTGGGCATGTGCAGGAAGCAACCGATTGATGTGTCTCTCTCACACCAATGCTTCTCTCTCTCCCTCCATCCCTTCCTCTCTCTCTGAAAATGGAAAAAAAAAAAAAAAAAAAAAAAGCCTCAGGTGAGGATTAACAAACAAAAAAAGCAAAAGACCAAATAGTTCTTTACATCGTGGGTGCAAGAATGACCCCAGAGTAAAGAATGACTTGATAGAAAAATATGTGGAGTAGAACCAGATTTTATTCATTGCTAACACCCACCAGCACCTCTACAGCACTACACATAGAAAATACACTTCCAGTTATTATTCCTGAAAAACGAATTACCTCAGAGTGAGTGGCATTAGAATAACAACAATTTGTTACGCTCACAGATTCTGTGGCTTCTGTGGGGCCAGCTTGTGTCTGCTCCATGACCTTGGGGGCCTCGGCGTGGAAGAACTGAGGATGCCCAAAGGCAACTCAGTGGTGGAGGCCTGGAGTTGCCTGTACTCTTGGTCACTCACATGTGAGGTGGTTGATGCCATTGTCAACCAGGACCTCTGCTAAGGACCCACACATGGCTCTCCATGGAGCTGCTTGGGCTTACTCTTGGTGCAGCTGTTGGTTTTTTTAAGAGTAAGTGTTCCAAAGAAAATATGATGGAAGTTTTTAATAACCTATCCTCAGACATCACACAGTGTGACTTCTACTGTAGTCACACACCTGCCGAGTTTCAGGGAAAGAAAACATAGATCTTTACTTCTCGGTGGAAGGTGTGGCAAAGTCACATTATAAGAACAGAATTTGCACAGGATTTAATGCTGCAACTACTTTTGGGAAATAAACTCTGCCACAAATATCAAATAATCCATTGGTGACTAAAAATGTCATGGTTAAACATCGGTACTTGCCTCAATTCTTTGAGTTCTTGGAGAACACAGCGTGACTATATACTCACCCTTAAGGTCTTATGATTTGCTTTGGTCAATGAAACATGGGTGGGAGTGACTTATGTAACTTATGGTAGGAAGCACTGACAGCCAATCCTCATCATCCATAGACTCTGTATTTGCAGACTCACCAACCTGTTAGTATGCGTTTGCAGCTCCATACAGCACCCTCGCCATCGCTGGTGGACCTGTGCAAGCGTAGAGCACTGAACAGTGTGAGCCACTGTTTAGAGAAAGGGAGTTACATTTTATTAAGGGCAGGGCCACATGTTCCCAGCTGAGGTTAAACAAAGCAGAGGTCCGTCCACTAGGTTCAGCTCTCACACAGTAAAAAGGTGTCCTTTCTGAAATCTATGTAGTGCCATGTTTTCAGCATTTTTTGGGGTGGGGGTGAGGTGGGAGGGGGGTTGGCGGGTGATTTGGCTCTTTAAAATGACCCCAGGCTTAGTGCCGAAGTGAGTTTAAGCACCGGAAGACTGTGATGTACCTTTTGAAGACGGTATGCTGAAGCATCCATCTTATATAAAAACTGTGGTTTGAAATCTTAACCCTGCTGTTTTGGCTTCTGTAAACGCTTGCTTGCTTAAATAATAAGGAAAATAAGACTATTCCATTCCAGAGAGGCTGTGGACAGAGTTGTCAGTGCTGACACCAGGCCAGGCCTTGAGATTTGGTCTCATGGCCCCTTCCCAGCACGCAGGCCTTCTTTCCCAGAAGGCCTGGAGGTCTCATTCCAAATTTGGGAGACAAACGAGCTAGGAAAAGTATAAATAGAAAAGGTTTCTCCGTGTGTGTGTGTGTGTGTGTGTGTGTGTGTGTGTGTGTGGCAGGGAGTGGAGGCAGAATTTGAAAGGCACATTTTTCTCTGGCCCTGCCCTTGATAAAATGTAACTCCCTTTCTCTAAGCATGGCTTATTTTGTGTGTGTGTGTGTGTGTGTGTGTGTGTGTGTGTGTGTGTGTGTTTGGTCCTCTGTAACAATGCTGGTGGTGAGTTCAGTATTAAGGAGTTAACCACACATATTAAATTAGATATTTTTATACGACAACACACATAACATACCAGTAGATCAGAATGTTCAGGCTCACACGAAACCTAACTGAGTTTCATCTAGAAGCACGGGTTCAGTGCTCATTTGGTCAATGTTCGTGGTGGCTGGACTGAGCAGCCTCTGTGCCTGCTGCAGGACTCTCCAGGGCCCTCCTCCCCCAGTGGCTAGGCTGAAAGTGGAGGCACCAGGTTATAAAAGCGCCACGTGGCACCTGTGAACACTAATTAAGAGCTAATAGGAATAACAATGTTGCCATAATTAAGCAACAAGAAAACTAGCTGAATTGTTTTGACATATGGGTATTAAACCTGAGCCTTCTGAATTTCATTAAATTTGTCCTAATACAAATCTTATTATTTTTAAATAAATGCTTTGCTTTCTTTTCTTCTGTTCTTTTTTATAACTAATTATCACCTTGTAAATATAGATAATGCAGCTTAGTCACTTGCTGTTATCTTCATTAATTGCATATTCCACACCTTATAAAACGAGTGTCTCCAAATTTAGCCTCAGTTTTTCTATAAGTAAAAAGCCCCCAAGAAGGCATTGATAACCATAAAAGGTACTCTGCAGATGAAAAGAAAAACAGATTTCTTTAACAAAATGTAAATTGCTTCCTGTTCCCCTAAAAAACAAAACAAAACAAAACAAAAAAAAACTCACTGTAAAGTAAAATTATATTCTCAATTTTACAGTCAACTAAGCAATGAGTCACAGCTGTTACTTAAGTTAAAATAAACAGGTGATTTATAAAAAATGTCAAAATTCATTATTTAACCTTTACTAAATAATTCAAAGTTAGCTCTGCATAATAGACTTGATATAAACACTAGGCAGAGTCACATGTCTGCAGGCCACTGCACACTTGCTTGGGCAGGGAAGGGTAAGGAAAAGAGAGGGCATCCATTGCTTAAATAGTACTAGGACCATACAAAAGAATATTATTTAGGAATAAAAAGGAATGAAATATGTACTGATACATGCTACAATGCTACAATATGGATGACTACTGAAAACATTACAGCAAGTGAAAGAAGCCAGTCACAAAAGCTCACCTATTATAATGACCCCATTTATTGTATAGATGTCCAGAACAGACCAACCTACAGAGTTGGGATGGGAATGGGGAGATGAGGACAATTATGTGATACCATAATCATTAAATAAATTAAAAAAAAATAAAAAATAAAATAAAATGGATAGTGGCTATTGTTGCACAATTGTGGATATACTAAACACCATTAAATGCACTTTAAATGGGTGAACTACATGATATGTGAAATTGTATCTCAATAAATCTCCTAGAGAAAAAAAAAGAATAAATACAGCCAAGAGATTTAAAACACACTGGAGTCTAGCCCATGTCCCCACCCTATTTCTTCCTCCCCTCAGTCATCTTCCCTTCCTCTTCTACTGCTCTCGCCCCAGCCTGTTAGACTTGGTGGGGTGACTCAGAGGTTTGGGCGTCCTTGGGGAGGTGAGGTCAATAAAAGAGGGCAACTCAAGGTTCCCTCCAAGCAGGGCAGTGGTCCATCTACTTCCCCCAGGGACAGGCACAGGCCACCTTCTGGGTGAGAGGCACTCATCCTTGGCTGGGCCCCTGGGCCAAACCTGGCTTGGAGTTCTCTGCCCAGCGGAGAGCCGACAAGGACAGCCGAGTTCAGGGTCGCCAGTGCGCACCCACCTCCACCAGGAGCGGAGACTCCCTCCTGCCTTTCCCTGGCTGCACCCATGGGTGCAGGCTCTCGCTCACGCCCTTCCAGGAGGAGACCTGTCTGCGGAGCCCGCTCCCAGTGCGGGCGGGGCCTTGGGAGAGATTCCCGAACCGGTTCCACCGGAAACCCCGCCAGCCCGCTGCCCGGTCCTTCTCCAACCCCAGCCCCTCTGGCTCCCACACCTCCGCCTGCCAGTTCATTAAAAACACTGGCGAGCCGAAACCGGTTTGACTCAGTGGATAGAGCGTCAGTCTGCAGACTCATGGGTCCCAGGTTCGATTCCGGTCAAGGGCATGTACTTGATTGCGGGCACATCCCCAATATGGGGTGTGTAGGAGGCAGCTGATGGATGTTTCTAACTCTCTATCCCTCTCCCTTCCTCTCTGTAATATATTAAATAGATAAATAAATAGATAAATAAATAAAACTGGGTGGGGGGGGATTGGGGGTTTGCGGGGGGGGGGGGGGGGTAGGGTGCAGCGGCCCTGCAGGCCAGCCTCCAGCCTCCCCCTGCAGAAGGGCCCAGCAGGGCGGGGACGCGCTGCGGGCGGGGAGGAGGCGCGGCCGCGGGGCGGGCGGCGGGGCGGGGACTGGGGACTCGGGGCCGCAGCGCGCACCGGCTCCTTCCCGGACGGCGCCGCCCATGGCCGAGGAGCAGGAGCCCGGGCCCGGGGCGGCCGAGGGCGCGGAGGCCCCGGCGGTGGAGACGCCGGGCTGGCAGGTCCCCGAGGACTCGGGCGCCCAGGTAGGCGCCTCCCGCGGCACGAAGGGTGCAGGCCGGGTTAGGGGCCGGGGTGGGAGGCGTTTTCGAGCTGATTTGTATAGTGAGGCTGGAGAGTCCCACATATTTTAGGAAAAAGTACATTTTAAAATGTCTGAGCCCCTGAACAAACGGGAAAACTCGGCAGGGAGCCACAGCCCAGGTACCGGCCACGTCTCCATTCCTTTGCTTTGTGGGGGGTTGGGGTGGGGAAAAGGAATCAACCTTGTCCCACAGCCCAGGTGGGACCCTCCGGGCCGAGGGGCCCTTACGGATGCTTGTTCTTAATTCGAATTGGGCTGACTCCCCATCCCCATCCTCCACCCTTCGCCCACCCCGCAGTCCGGTTGCGAGCCGAGGGGGAAGGGCCCTGCCCGGCCCTCAGGAGCCCGGCCCAACGGCCCAACGGCCCAATCCAAGTGGGCGCAGCCCCTAAACAGAACCCAAGCCCAGGCCCGGCACTGTTGCACCTGGCGTCCTGCCTTTTTTAGAATGACTTCCCCAAGCTTTCTGTTCCATGTTAGCCCGAAAGTTACGAGATCCGACACTACGGACCAGCCAAGTGGGTTTGCACCTCCGTGGAATCCAGGGACTGGGATTCCGCCATCCAGACCGGCTTCACCAGGCTGACCAGTTACATCCAAGGCAAAAACGAGAAAGGTGAGGGCAGTCTTCCTGGTAATTGCAGACGGTGGTGGAGTCCCCTGGCTCTTCTTGAGTTTGAGCTTATGAAGGCAATCCAATTTAGAAGACAAAAATAACCAGATCAACAGAGACTTACTGTTTTTCAGCCTCTCATCCTGGACTGAGCCGGGCCTCTGTCACTAGTGTTGGGTCCCTTTTATGGCTGATGCTGGACTGGTGGGTGAGAGACATCAGGAGGCTAGTCAGAGGGAGGAACACAAGACCCAGAGTCTCAAGCCTGAGCTTGTGGTTCCGACTCTGAGGCTGTTTATGTTCCAGTAGGTCGTTGGCCAATGGGGCTTCAGCTTCCGAATTGTAAAAATAATGACTGGACGATGTGATCTCTCATCTTCCCTGCTATCCCTAAACCTTTAGAATGTAGCAACCAAAAATATTAATTGTACAGAAAGCGCTTAATGTGGGCAGTGTATAACTGAGTCACTTTGGTCTTAATTTTGAACGGTGGAAGTTATCTTAAAGACAAATAGAGGGTGGGGCAAAAGTAAGATGATGGCAGGTGCTTGCATGGAAAAAATAGTACAATAATTAATAAATAACGCAAGAATAAACTCTGTTTTGCACACTCACGACGGTAACACTGCTTTTGCCTCTCCCTGTACTTATGCCAATAGCATAAAGTAAATCAAGACACCCGGATCCCAAAACAATAGGTGACGTTTAAAAAGTAGTGATAAATTCGCTTTCATGCTCTCCTTTGTGTTTAAATATGTATTTTTACGGCACAGAGATGAAAATGAAGATGACAGCTCCCGTGGTGAGCTACGTGGAGCCGGGCTCGGGGCCTTTCAGCGAGTCTACCATTACCGTTTCCCTGTACGTCCCCTCCGAGCAGCAACCCGATCCGCCCAGGCCCTCAGAGTCCGATGTCTTCATTGAAGACAGAGCCGCTATGACTGTGTTTGTGCGGTAAGTGGTAGGTAATTTATAGCCCTGCTGACTGCCGGTGTCACCGTCCTGCCCTCTGTTCAGCTCTGATGCAATTTCAGGAGGCTGTTCACCCTTCCACAAGGACAGGCTGATGCGTTTTTATGGCGTTTTCCCTCTGGCTTATTTTAAGTAGGTTACCAAGGGTCTGCTGCAAAATCTAATCAAAATTCAGTTAACGCAGAGTCTGTTGCATACCTTCCACAAATCGGACACAATGCAAATTATCTTCCCCACCCCCAAAAAGCATAAACTTACCTGCCATCTAGGTAAGCCTGAACAAAAATCCCTTAACTCCCAACTTCTAGGTCCTGATAACCCCAAACTCTTACCGTTTGCTCCCCAGTACAAGAGATGGCTGCTGCCTCCTGAGGTTATTCCCTCTGCTAGTTCATGGGTTCTTTACTTTTTCAGACTTCTATTACCTGTGCCACTCATGTCTTATATTAAATTCTCTGTTGAAATTTGATCACAGTACATGATAATAATCTCATATTGGAGTCCCTTTCTCTACCACCAACCTGTTACAGGAATCTGTGTCTCTGCTTCCTCACCTCCCACGTACACCTCAAACCACCACCGTCTGCTGTAGCCCACACCCTCTCCATGGAACTGCTCTTGCCACCTTCCCCAGTGTACCTGCATTTGTTACGTAACAGTCCCTTCCCAAGGTTCTCTGCAGCCTTTGCGTGCTGACTAGTCTGTTCCCTGATACTTGTCCATCTTATAACTCAGAATGTTGCTCTATTGTCATTCCTCTACTCCTCGTCCACTCCTCACCCCAAGAATCACTGTTGATGCCTATTATTGATGCTCATGTCAAAGCAGGCTTGCTCTGGGTGATCTATTCACAACATCTCAAATACCTGTGTCTAATGACTCAAATTTAATGTCTCCAGCCCGAGTTCCCTACTTGTTGGCCATTTCCATGTGGGATAGGGGTGGGGATCAAACTAAATAGCTCTAAAACAAGCCTTTCCCGAATTCCCAACTTGCATGGGCAGTGATCTAACAATGCCTGCGTCAGTCAAGGGCCTCCACATCCTGACAGCCTCCCCAGCAAGGACCTCCATGGTCTTCACCCTCTTCCTGGGCCCCTTCCCCTCAGAAAGGATTGTGATTCTGTTCCCCTCTGTCCTTCCTCATTGTTACTTCCTCAGTCTTCCTCTTACAGGGACCACACCTCAGTCATACTTTGCTGAGCACAGTGGCTGACAAGGCACTCCCATGTCTACTGATCTCGGATCTTGTCTACTGATCTCGGATCTTGACTATTCCACTTCAGTAGCCTCCCAGCTCCTCTCTTTTGCCCCACCCTGGAACTCATGCTTTTCTTATAACAGCGGCAACAAAAGCCTCAACCTGTCACTCCATTAAAAAGTCTTTGTTGGTTTCTTCTTGCTTCAGGGTGAAATTTGAGTTGTTCAGTCACATTGCACACAATGCCTTTTATAATGTGTCCCAACCCTGTCTCCCCCGACACATTGCATTCCATTGATGTTCCCACTCTCCCCTGAGCAGGCAGTGTTCTTCCCCATCTCCTTACCTTTGACATCAGTCAACTTCCTAGACTTCCCCTGCCCAGATATCTGCATTTGGAAACTGCATAATCATAAAGCACCTACCTAACTCACAGGGTTGCCATGATTAAATGAGTGAATGTACATAAAATACTTAGAGCATGGCGTGACTTCTAGCTTCCTCTTTCTTCTCTTTCTGGAGAGCCCACGGCCATCCTCTAGGTAGGACTCAGAATGGCACCTCGGCCAGTAAGTTACTCTGTCCATACCCTTCGGCTCCAGGCAAGGCAGGTTGACGGGGGGAGGCTTGGTGTGTTTGTTTATGGAACAGAGCATGGATAGATCATTGGAGAACAATATGAATTCAAAGAACAGAAGGTAATTTCTAATTAGGGGCTTCAAGATTGGATTTCACAGAAGTAGGACCTGAAAACAAATTTCCTGTAGGCAGAACATTCTAAGAGTTAGCTATTATGAAAGAAAATAACAATTTAAAAGACAAACTATTTCTTAACACATGGTTCAGAATTATCAGTCAACATGCTGAAAATTATAGAACAGTTTTATCAATTTATCTTCAGTGTTTTATATACAGGTGCGCACATAGATTCCTACACTTATTCATAAGATTTTAACTATATATATATATATATATATATATATATATATATATATATGTATATATATATTATTGATTTTTCACAGAGAGAAAGAGAGAGGGATAGAGAGTTAGAAACATCGATGAGAGAGAATCTTCGATCAACTGTCTCTTGCACACCCCTTACTGGGGATGTGCCTGCTACCCGGAATCGAACCCGGGACCTTTCAGTCCGCAGGCCGATGCTCTATCCACTGTGCCAAACCGGTCCCTGCTTATTCAATAAGATTTGAAGGAGACTGCATGCCAGGAATGATTCTAGGTGCCTGACATTGAGTAAAATAGACATGGTTTGGTTTGTACCCTTGAGAACTTCCATCTTATCTGACCATTTCCTTGGCAAACTGATGTTAAAACGTATGCTAAAGAAGGCGTATAAGGAACATATTCCCCATGTTTCCTATTCTTAACCTTCAAAATCAAATGCATCATGTTTCCAGCAACTCAGCTAAGTCTGTGTCATGTCATGATTTAATCTCAGGATAGTTTTGCTTCTATCTATGCTTTATATTTTATTATTTTTCCCCACTTAAAAAAATCTTTTTAAAAAATATGCTTTTATTGATTTTAGAAAAAGAGAGAGGGAGATGGAGAGAGAGAAACAATTGGTTGGCTGCCTCCTACACACACACACACACACACACACCCCATCCCCTTTCAGGGGATTGAGCCCCAAACCCCATGTATGTGCCCTGAGCTGGAATTGAACAGGCCGCCTCTCAGGGCACAGGATGGCACCCAACCAACTGAGCCACGCTGGCCAGAGCTTTTTTCTCACTTTCCCAGCTCCTGATTTTCTTTTTAATTTAGCTATTTTGGCTGTCTGTTCTTCCCCATCCCAAACCTCCCATGTATCCACTCAGATCTGACCAAGTTACTTTTCTGCTCAACATCCTTTTAAGAATAATCTCCAAAGGTCTTAGGATGATGATATACAAGGTTCTTCTCCTGAGCCCACATGCTGTCCCTCGCTATGAAAACACTTCGCAGTTTGGGACTTCTGTTCTTTTTCATATCCCTCCCCCTTCTCTGCCCAGCAAAAACCCTCCCTTCCAGACCCAACTCAGTTCACAGCCCTGATCTTGATTTAATCATACTCAGAGACCCTAAGCACTTTGGTCCTGTCTCTGTTAAATCTCTTCTCAAGCTATAGAGAGGGAGCTACCAAAATGTTTGTCTCTTGCTTCAGACTATAAGTTAATAGGGTCAAAACTACATTATATTCATCCATCAATTAGCGCCTGTCCCTTGCCCAAGGAGAGGAAGAAAGGCAAAATGTTCTAGAGAAAATTGCAAGTCTGGGAGAGAGGCTTCGGAGTGGCTTTCTATGGGGTCCTCTGGCCAGCAGCAGCATTAGGAGCTAGTTAGAAACCATACAGACTCTCAGGCTTCTCCCAGACCTCCTGAATCTACATGTCAGCAAGATTTGTGTGCACATTAAAGTTTGAGAAGCAGAGTTAGAGGATGGGAAGTGTGAATTCCAGATCTACCTGCCAGCTGCTGGCCCGGATCCCTCCTCCTGGTTCTCCTTCTCGGTGTGTGGAGATGACACTGAGAGCAGGAACTAGAGGAAGGGATGGCTGGGCTCAGGGGCTGAGCAGATGGAGCTTTGAAGCTGGACTTTATCCAGCTTCATTGTATCAGCTCCTGCTTTTCTTTTCAGACTGCAGGCGTGGGTACTAAAGCCACTCATGGTTATTTACGTTCTCCTTTGTAGGTCTTTCGATGGATACTCTAGCGCCCAAAAGAATCAAGAACAACTTTTGACATTAGCAAGCGTTTTGAGGGAAGAAGGAAAAGTTTTCGACGAAAAGGTTTACTACACTGCAGGCTACAACAGTCCTTTCGATTTGCTTAATAGGAATAATGAAGTGTGGTTGATTCAGAAAAACGAACCCTCCAAAGAAAATGAATGAGAAAATGAAAAGAAATAGCTTTGCCAGGGGCTGAACTTTAATATAGACATCAACCTATCTAGAAATAAAATGTGTGTCTAGTACCTTCTCCTTGACAGTACACATAGGACTTGAGCCTATTTCCAATGTGCCTTTTTAATGCTTGAAGCTTTATCAGGATACACAGATAATAGGGGACAACAATCTATGAACATGGAAATTGTCATTGTCCTGGGGGTCTTTAGTTCCATGAGGCTCCAGGGAAATGTCATGCTACCTCCCCTTCTTCTCTATCATAATCATGTTGCTTTTTTCTACTGGATTCGTGTCAATTGGATGTTATCCCCTCCAGATAATAGCAATAAAAATATTAAAGCTCTACCTTGTGTGGCACTACTGTACTGTTCAGCATAGAGAGGTGAAGTTAGGGTTGGACACAAAGAATTAAACTGTCTCTTTGCAGCTGCTGTTACCTTCTGTTGATTCCTCCTCCCTATCTGCCCAAACTCACACAGTACCCAAAAGTTTTGATAATATTTTGTGGCAAATATTAAATTTATAAGATTAGGGACTTCCTATCCAAGTTTGATATTCAGTAAAGGTATGTTTTTCCTGAACAAATGTATACAAACATATAATTTTAAAATTCACTTTAATTTTTAAGTGATTTCATGTCGTCTTTCTGGAGGTCATGGAATAGTGACTGATAAAAGAGTGGGGTGCCCCAAAATCAAGGAGGTTAACATTGTCACCTGTGTTGGAAACTGTTTGTCCTGGGAAGGTGTCACATTCAGGTGCCTCGAATCCTGTTGTGGGGGAAAGGCATTAGCTTTGCTGTGGGCTCCTGGAGGATGATCATTGCAAGCTGGACCTCAGTAACATCCAATAATTAGAGCTTCCCATGAATGATACTTGTTCCATTTCCCAGCACTGGGTGGTTTAAGTGGGGAAACACATGATCATTTACATAGGAGATCTGAGTGTCCAATGGATGGGAGGGTGAGGCCAGAGGATGCTTCAGGTCCTTTCAACCCCAACGATATATACTATCTCTTAAAATTGATCTCCCTAATCTGGATACAAGCGACTAACATACCTGCAGTTAGCTCTGGATTGTCTTCTAGGTATATCATCCCAAGTGCTTTACCTGAATCACCAAATCCAATGCTGTGTGCCACATCGCATCATCTCTATTTTGCCGATGAGGACACTGAGGCACGGATGCTAGGTTACATGCCTCAGATGAAACTAAGGACAGAGGCCAATTGGAGTCCAGGCAGCTGACTCCTTGGTCCATGCTGTTAACCACTATGCCCACTGGCAGGTAGTGGTCAAGAGTAGGCTAGGACCGTCTGGAGGTGTTCTTGCATATCACATGCATAATCACATGCATATCATGATGATAGCTTCAGACATACCTTTTAGACTAATTTTTGATAGAAAGCTAGATTTCTGGTTCTGGAATTATTATGAGTATAAATTTTAAAATCCCAGGCAATTATTTTCCAAAGATAATCATCTGTTTACACTGATAATTGATTCTCTGCATGTTTATGCTTGCCAAAAGACAAAAATTCTTTTTTAACTCATTTACTGTCCCCAACTAGAGACTACTCTCTAGCCCTCCCGACAAATGTCCACAATACCAGTCCCTAATGGTAAGAGGTAACTATTTCAACACTTCCTCTACAGTCCTATATAAAATAGGCTTCTCTTACGCAATAAATATCAGTTTAAATAAGAGAACTTATTTCTGGTCACTCAGATATTTGAATCTGAAACGTGTTCAATAAAAAAGCAATTTCATACTATTGAAATCCCACTATCTCATTTTCCCTTCCTCTCCCATAATGCATAAACCTTTTCCAGCCCTGATCAATCCGAGAGTAATTTTCATGGCAGTGAGTCAGTTATTGTAATGATGTATGTAGGTGGCATGATTACATGGTATCCCTTATGTCAACTTTTGCGATTTTTATTCTTGTACCTGTAGGAAATTCATATCTGGACCTTTTCTTAAGCTAAACCTTGCATCTTTGCTGATGGTCTAATTCGTGCTCCATCCATTAGCCCCTTTCCCTTCCTCATCAGGCTCTTGCTCTCCACACACTCTAATCACTCTCATGGACCACAACCCACCAATGGAATGTGTAGCTTGTAAACAAGGCTAAGAACCCAGCCAAGTTACATAATTCCCTTCTTAAAAACCTTTGTTATTCTCCAGTACTACAAAACAAAATCCTAATTTTTTTTTTTAAATGACATACCAGGCCCTCTGCATTCTTACTCCAGGTGGCCATTCCAGTATCACACCTCACTGTTTTACTAGAGACTTCTTTTAGCTACATGGCTTTCTCTAAACACTTTGGCTCTGTGTCCTTGCTCAGGTTGTTTCTTCAATCTGGCATGACTTCTGCCAACTCCCTATGCTTGGTGAGCTCCTCATCTGTGCAGTCTTACCTCAGGTTCACCACAGCCAATGCCTTGCCCACCCCCTTAAGTCAGAAGCTGTGGCATCTTCCTCTGAGAACCATCTCTCTCTCCTGCAAAGTCAGTGAAAAATACTCACCAGGTGAGCCTGGAGATGGACAGCTGAGGTGTTCTCACTGGACCAGGCTCCTCTGCCTTCCATCCTTACTGGAGCTTCAGAGTTTGCAAGAGCCCTGTCCCTCCTCCAGCTTCCCACCATTCTAGGGAGAAGAGGGGGAAGGAAGCCACAAGAGGAATGGCACCTGCATGAGGAAAGCAACTTCCCAGACAACAGTGGGGGAGAGGGGTCTGGCAGTCCAGGTGGGCGCACTGCCAGCCTGAACCAATTCTATGTGTTCTGTTGGTAAAGAGAATGCGTGCCGGCTGGGGTCCTGGCCGGATTTACCCTGAATGTTCTTCCCTTTCCTCTCCTCCCTCGCTGATCTGTTCTACAGGGTAGTCCATTGTTGATGCCTCTCTTCACTAGGTTTGAAGTTCCTTCAGCTTTCTCATCCAAATTTTTCTATCTTAGAACTTCCTCATCCTCATCTAGGACATGAGATGTATTTAATAAAGAGCTTTTTTTTTTTTTTTTTTTAAATTTTTTTCCATTGCTGAACACACAACTACAGACTTGCTCTAGTCTTTGTTCTGTAAATAAAGGTGGACCCGTGTGGAAGGTAGTTTAAAGCAACTTACTTAAAGAAACTAGATTATAGTAACGGAATAGCTTATTACAGAAAAAGAGACCTCAAAAATCAGGTCCATGCTTTATCCAAAACTCGCCTCCCCCAACAATATCCTAATAGCTGCCAAAGTATCCAGACTTGCTCATTTCATGACAGAACTGCAGCAATACACACAATTATTCATATTCACTTAATGGACAGAAAACACATTCAGACCAATAAAGCCAATCTCTAGCTTCACCTGGCCTCCCAGGAGGCCACCAGAGCTGGGTGTGGTGGTGGGTGGGGAGTAAGAAGTACAGAAACACTACCTTTCTTGTCACTGTGATCCTCCACAAACATTGACTCATCCACACACGAGAAGCAATGGCTCCAATCAATATTCTTCAGAAACAGGAGGGCAGAAATCAGGCCCAAGTTGAGGCTGCTTCCAACGGACAATCCAAATAGGTATTAGTTTCTCTCCCAACTTTTAGAAAAACCAGAGTGGAAATCATTTAGGCCTGGGGCTTCTATCCATGACTACCTGGCACTTAAGGTCTCAGGGCAGAAGGGTCAACTCTACCCTCATTCAGTGTTTAAGTATGATCTGCTCTGTTAACTGTGGCTGGCCCCGAGGAATACAGAGTAAAACTAAAGATGCCCAGTGGTTCAGGAAGGAATCTAGATGCTTGTTTCCCTGTATGTCATCCATCTCTCCACATCACATCATCAGGACTACCAGTCAGTGCATTATTCACATTTTCTTCAGAAGTCCCTGGGACATCGTTTGGAGTTGTTTTCCCGGATGTCCTCTGAGATGGCACCATCCAGAGCCTAGGATGTTCTAACTCCTCTCTGTTGGGTCCCACCTCCCACGGGCACCGTCTGGTCTTCACTCCTCTTCTGTTTGCATCCAACAAAGCACTCAGCAGTTCTGCACATTATTAAAAAACCCATGTACTCACAAAAGGAAATAATGTTCAAATATTTCCTTTGCAATTGTTTCATTCAAAGCAAATTAAAAACCTAATATATTTTCCTTTAAAAATGGGGTTTTTAAAGTTTTATAATTAGTGTTGATGTTGCTTATCTTACCCTCAACATATATGATTTGTATATTAAGTTCAAGTTCTCTGATAGCCATGTACATTCTAATCTTTTCTAGCTATCTATGAGATTTCATATCCAAAAGCCAACACTACTTTTCTAAAATTAAGAAGAAAAAAGTCCTTGTTCCCAGTGTACTAGATAATTGCTCCAACAGGTAAAAAGTCCTTTGCTTTTGGCCAAAGGTCAGGTCTTGATTTCTATTGTGTAAAACGAAGTGTTTAATTTTTTTTTTTCAGAGAATGGAAGAAGCCTTAATTCTTTAGAGGTTTTTTTGGTTTGTTTTTGTTTTGCTTTTGTCTCAAAGATGTGTCTAAAGTGGGCATCTGATCCTTATGATGATTTGGCCTGTGTGGTCCAACTTTGAGATGATATTTTCACATCAGGGAAGATGACATTGGGCAGCTGTCTTATATGTAATCTAAGCATCTCAGCATTGCCACCTTAGGTCCCTCTAATGAAGACAAGACACCGATTTTATTTCACCAACAAATCAAGTACATGGCAGTCGGAAGGGCATTGGGGGGGGGGGGGAGGGAAGCACAAGAACATGACATAAAAATAAATACACACGTTTTCCCATGTCTAAAAGTGTTAAATTCTAACTAAAGAAGATTGGGAGGTAATTACCTAACTCAATTATTTATAAAAAAGTATATAAAAACACACAAACCATGTGATGCAAAAAAAAATCTTTTTAATCTAAAAACTCATTTCCCAGGGCCAATTCATTGCCAAGCCCTACCAATTTTTATCAGTTTATTAGACTAACAAGAGCTATTCAGCATTTTTGTCAAAGTAAGATAATATATAATAGATTTCGATAAACCTTTCTCAGTGAGGATATGGTACTGCAGGCAGTTCAAGGAAAAATAGCCATAACTTTTTCTTTGGTGTAACCAAAAGGATATCCAAAAGTTAGCAAATGTTGACGTTTCAAGTGGTAAGAAATTGCCAAACGTAAGTTTAAACTCTGGTAAAAAACAGTTGTACAAGGAAAAGCTCCACCCACAGTTCTGTAGTGCAAGTTTTCAAATTTCATTCTGAAAAATAAGTTTATTTCATTAGCAGAAAACAAATTGCAGCAGTGTATCACTCGCTCCTCTGCCTTCTCTCACCCTCTCTGCATGTGCACACCCTCATTTCAGTTCTCGAAGGTCCTCGCTAGAAAGGAGGAAATTCATTTAAAAATCACCCATGTTTCTAAACATCGGGCTGAGAGTGGTGTCTGTGGCTGCAGGGCAGCAGGCTCCGACCACAGCGTTTCCACTTCCACATGTTTGTCATTTTTACAAAAAAAGAAACAAAAGCCTTTTTTCCCCCAGAAAAAAGTACCTGAACCAATTAGTCACTTAGCCCTTTCCCTACCTTTCGGGTTCACCATGAAAGCACACCTGTGCATATACCCATGCGTTCTGTGCACTCAGAACCAGCAAATCTACCACCTCGTTCTCCAAGAGCGGTCCTCTCCCTTCCAGAACCCACTCATTTCCACAACAGACTTTCAAAGCATCACCACCTAGTCCAGAAACCTCCATTACTTTGTGTCTTTCCCCCTCCTATATCTGTACATGTTGTTTGTGTGTCTATTTTTTTAAACATAAAAAGTGTTCAAAATGCACACATACACACCTGTTCACACACACCCAACATTTAGAAAAAAGAAAAAAAAATCTTCCCCAGGAAGCACTTTCAGAAGTTAAGCTTCTACTTGCTTTTAAGCCACAGGGCAAGTGCCGAGTCCTCAGGGACCCTCACCCACTGCAGGCATGGCAGCGCCCGGGTCCACGGCACGCACACGGGTGGGACCCCTGGGCAGACAGTGGAGGGTTCCTCGGGCTTCCTGGAGCGGTGGGTTGTCACCTGGGAGGTCCCATTCTTGCCCCTAACTCGCTTCCCTCAGGGCACCCCCGCACTGTTCCAATGGGCCCCTGCCCTGGGCACTGGCTGTCCCGTCTGCGGGGCCACATTGCAGGCTGCCCCCAACCATGTCATCCCCCACCAGTCCGTCCAGGGAACAGCCCCTGGCAGCACCCAGGGCACGGCGAGCCCTGGTGTCCGCAGGCTCCGTGGCCTCCCCTTCCCCCTCTGAGATGACGGTCATGGGGCTGCTCTGGATGCGGTTCCGCAGGCTGTACCGGCTGCTGGCCGCAGAAGGCGGGGTTCGACTGCGGCCGTACCGGGGGCCGGAAAAGGACAGACTCCGAGGCATCAAGCCTTCGTTCCTGGCCCACTCCTCCTGGGCCCTTCGGCTCTTGCTCGGGGAGCAGCTGGACGGGCTGTCGGGAGCGTCGGGCGCAGGCTCCGACCTCGATCTCTGGAACCTAGGGTCTGTGTTCTTGAGCATCTCGGCCGCGGACATGCGGGCGCTGGTGTCTGACCGGCTCCCCTTTTTCAGCAGCAGAGCCTTGAAGTTGTCGCTGCTGGTGCTGCTCTTGCGGACGCTCCTCTGGATGGATCCCACCTGCTTTGGGGAGGCCAGGCTGGGGGCGGCGCCCGTGGGAGTCACTGGTGGGGAGGGAGAGTGGTTCCTGGCGTGATCGTCCTCAGAGTCTTTACGGCCAAGGACTTTCCTCTTGGATCTGAGATTTAAAAACATTAAGATAAAGGCTAATTCCAAATGGGCCACTGGATGTCAGCCACAGCCACCCTGCTTATCTTACCGCACATTCAGGTAACCATTTATGTAATCCTCCAACACCCATGCATGCACAAGAATAGTTCATTGTATTTGCCATGTGTGCCCATGACCCAGCTATACTTACTAACTTACTGGAGGCCTGGTACATGAAAATTTGTGCGGGGTGTGTGTGTGTGTGGGGGTGGGGGGTCCCCTCAACCTGGCCTGCCCCCTCTCACAGTCCGGAAGCCCTCAGGGATGTCCTACTTGATGGCTTAGGCCCGCTCCCTGAGAAATCCTGATTGGATTTTATGGTGCTGGCAATGAAAAGGCCTAACAGATAAGCCAATTCCCAGAATACCCTGTCCCCTCTACCAAGAAGGGCCCCCACCCAGGTTCTAGAACAATCCTACAAGAATTTGTCATAAAACCTGTCTTCCTTGGCTCTTACTGGGCCATTTGTCAACTCCTAGAAGTCCAATGGTCCAGGAAACAAAAGCGAACCGCCCACACCACATCCTGTTTTGTGACTCATGTCAGTGAACTTCTAGATCACACGTGTCAAACACAAGGCCCGCGGGCCAAATCCGTCCCGCCAGGCCTTGCAATGTGGCCCGCACCGCGCTGTCATCACTGCACTCCGCTGCGTTTCCATCACAATGACAGTTTATGACTGTTCAGTAAACCATTCGGCCCGCGATTTAGGCTGGATTTTAGATTTTGGCCCCTTCTCTGATTGAGTTTGACACCCCTATTCTAGATGATCAAGAAAATCATGAGAGGGGAAAAGTAAAATGTTTCCTACCTCAGTCACTAAGAACCTCCCTGTTCCATGTGCTTTCTGCTGAGAGCGAGTCAGAGATAATAAAGCAGACGAGCAAGTGGCCCCTTGCTGGTCTTTTCATAACAACAGCTCAGGGCGCCAGGAATCCTTTAGCCAAGTACAGGTGGACTTGCTTTAAGGACACATGGTACATCTGATGAGTAAAGATGTGGGGATATTTCCTTTTCTGCTATAAAATTCTAGAATACGCAGCAGGGAAAGGTTGGGAGGGTGTACTATCTGTACACACAGAACAAGGGTTGAACATGAGCGCTACCAACTTCTAGCTGCGTGACCTTGGACCATTGCTCCTCTATGCTGCACCTCGGCATTCATACTTGTCAAAGGGGGATGATGGTATCAGCCTCACAGGTTTGTGAGGATTCAATGTGATAAAGAATCCACGGAGTCACGTGGACCTGGGTTCACTCCCATTGCTTAAAGTGACCTTGTTCATTACCTTGGGCAACTTAAAGTTTTTGATCCTGTTTCCTATATGGAAAAGGGGAATTAACAGCAGAAAGCACATAATTTATTGATCCAGATGGATGCAACGCCAGCCACAAAATGTCAGGCACAGAGAATGTGCTTAATAAACCTTAAGAGTGTCTCTTAGGAAAATATATTTTCCCTTCCTGCCTCTAGGTCAGGCTTCAGTCCTGTTGTCATGTGACCTGCACAGCAAGGCATGGAGGAGGGTGGGCCATGAGGGCCGTCCTGGGTTTGATGCTCCCAGGGTCCTCCCATGCTTCTGGCCAAAAAGGAGCCACCAAAGTGGAAAACAGGAAGTAGTAAGGACCCAATTCCCAATTTGGAGGCTGAAAGGTGGCCAGACCTGATGTGGCACCAGCCCCTTTGGGAATGCAGAGCCTGCCTATGATATCTAGGTTCAATGGTCCTGCTCAGATGTCAATAAAAGCAATGCTCTAGTGCAGTGGTCGGCAAACCCATTAGTCAACAGAGCCAAATATCAACAGTACAAAGATCGAAATTTCTTTTGAGAGTCAAATTTTTTAAACTTAAACTTCTTCTAATGCCACTTCTTCAAAACAGACTCGCCCAGGCTGTGGTATTTTGTGGAAGAGCCACACTCAAGAGGCCAAAGAGCCGCATGTGGCTCGAGAGCCGCAGTTTGTCAACCACAGTTCTAGAGTAAGGTAATGAGGGACTGACAGAAACCACAGAAATACTAACATCTCAGAATTGCAGAGCTGGAAAAGATTTCAGGTGGTTTGGTCTGACCAGAGAAGGTACCTGAGGTCTAAAGAGTGAAGTCACAGAGCTTCACTCTTTAGACCCATTTTTGCAGGTACTGGTCTGTGATATTGTTTTTTATTTGGTTTTTCAACGAAGAGAATGTGCCAAGTGCCACACAACAACCCACAGCCATCCTTGATTAAAGCTATGGCCTTTAACTGCAGATTCAGAATTAAGGGAAGGAATGGAAATTTATAAAAAGTAGTGTTTTTCAACAGCTGCCCTCTAAAGTGAGAATTATGTCTAAACACATGAATGCTCTGCTTTTATGTTGTGTGTGTATTTTAAAAGGTGGCTGTAAAAGGCGCTTAAACAGTTAACTCCGGCTTGAAAACTAATTACTTTAAATGAATATAAAAATTTCACACCTCAACTGGTGTGCTACATGTTCCATCTGGCTTCCAATCTGAAGTGAATTTATTTGCATTCTAAAACTTGAAAGCTATGTTTCAATTTAGATATTCTTACTTTGAACTATTAGCTTGGGTACTGAAGGGGATATAAAATAAAGCCCTAAAAACCAGGAACTTTAGGCGGATTTGGATTATGTCCGCTAATGTACTGCCTGTGCTAACATGAAAACCGGCACGTGTCCTTGCTCTCTCTTGGCAATCCCATCCTGCGTGGACTTGAGGGCTACCATGTGCACACAGGCTAATTCAGATAGGCCAAGTCCCACATCTGCTGTCGACATAATTATGATTACGCTCTAGATATAATTCTCTAGTAGAAGAAACCTCAAAATTTTCAGGGCCTCAAGAAGGTTGCTAAAATAAAATATAAGGAAGATCTCTGGCATATTTTTAGGACAAGCATGCTGTAATTTGGGCCCACAACAGTTGGGTTCTCACTAAGACCAAGTATTTAGTACACAGAGCGGCCAGGCAACACTTCCCTGCGGACTGCCGTTATAAATACACATGCCTGCACACTGAGCAACCCGGTGCATTCCATACCACACGAAAGCTGTGGAGTCCTGGAACAACTTCCAGACAGTTAAATACCAATTGGTTTCATTTAATTCAGAAAATATTAATTGAGTGCTTCATCTGTATCTCGCATGGTAAGACTTAGAAACATCTGTGTAAGCCGCTACACATGCCATTAAAGTTGATTTCAAAGATTGCATCATTGGTTGTTTCCCTGGTTCAAGAAATAATTTGGTAAACTAGCTACCTTTTTATTCCTAATGATATCAAAGAGAACAGCCAGCCAATGTTAAAGGAACAGTCTGTGGCATCATTTGGGACATTATACCATCATTAGGGCCAGGAGGTAAAAAATATAATTCTTCACCAACACCTTAATTCGCCAGCTTGTTTTTTTTTTCCTCTCCCAAATTAGGTGTTTATGTGTTGCATGAGGCATTTCAGGTAGAGACAGCACTATGCTTTTCATCATATGCAATCATTTTTGTCCTATTCCAAGAATTGGGAAAATGGTCCTATACAAGGTTAGGCACACAATCAGGATTTTCTGTTTCTGGAGGGGAAAAAAAGAGACTTGATTCAGGGCAATACAAGACTTTGGAAGCATAAGGGCATGTGTACGAATGAACTGAAAATACTGTGGTGAAGAAGTCTAGGAAGAAGCAACGGTTTAATACAGAAAGTACTTGCACATATATAATCTTTATAGTTTTACAATGTTGTGAGAGTACTTGGCGGTTTACAACCAAAAAAAAAATAGGCAACAAATAAAACTTTAGTGTTAAGTCCTATTCACTCAAGTTGACCACATGTAAAAAGTATAAATAGTACAGGCAGTTCTTTTAAAAAACAGTTGTTCTTTATGTTTTCAAACCCATAATCTCTGATGCCAGTAGGTGGCCCTAGCAGCATATCGTAAAACAAGTAGATTTAATTCCTTTTGCTCCTGCTTAAAAAAAGATGTACTCTTTAACTGAAACGTGTAAGCAGCCAAAGGAATTGCACTATAAAATCCTGGTTTTTCTGTGACATAAACAACAACAATGCTGTGCCATTAGGAAAATTCCTGTCCTAGAGCGCTAGACTGTGCATCTTACGTCCACAGAACAAGCCTTCCTCCCCGGGACTGGACCAGGGCTGCTCTCATCCCACTCTTAAACACCCTGTCAGATGACTGACACGCTGTGTTCCTGGCCAGCAAGAGCAGAGCTGAGCAGAGGCATCACCCTGAGCCTCTGACCCCCCCCCCACCCCCCACCCCCGTGTCATCATAAAAATTAGTGGAACACAGCAACACAGAAACAAAAACATAGAGACACACGAAAACAAGTCAACAATCCAGTTAAGGAGACCTAACTGGGAGACAGAAGAAACCCTAAGAAAGAAATACAAATCGAGGAACCCTTTGGAAGAGGGGGACTCAAAAAGGAGAAGGCAATGTGAGGAGGTCGGGGTACCTGTGAATGGCCGCGAAGAGGTCTTCGGTGGTCCGGGGTCTGCTGGGGGTCATCACCTCATCGCTCCCTTCCTCCTTAAGGAAGTCAAAGACCTCTGGGGAAGAGCCGGCTGCCTCGGTCTCCGGCACCCGGGCTGTGGAGAGGCAAGCAAGCAAACACAAGATTCACAAACGACTTGAATTTCAGTCCCGAGCCAAGCTCCCAGTACGCGTCCCTGTCATTCCTGACAACGTGAGAACCGCAGGGACGCGCCATGGGGTCTGTAGTTTGATATTTTATAAGGATAGGGAGCATGCTAGCCAAAGCTCTTTCTTTTGTGCTCAAGTCTGGAACTCAGAAGGAAGCCCTTAAATTGTGTTGTAACATGACTTTGTGGCTCTCCGGAAGGGAGAGCTATTTAATACTCAGCCTGCTGCAGACCCCACTCCCACCCCCACTCATCCCACCCCTCCACTCCTCTCTCTCTGTCCTTCTGTAAGCTCTACCCTTAGACCTAGATTTTTTTAAAATTTCACAAGATGCCAAGCTAAACTCAGACTGCTGGCTCTAATGTGCACCCGCCCCAGCCCTATCTGCCTCGGCTGCACATGGTGGGAGAGGAAACAAGAGAGAAAACCAGACTCACGCCCTGGGTCCTGCAGAGCCAGGCAGCTCTCCTCTGCGTGGCCCCCGTGGTCTGCGCTGTTCTCGGCGCCTGGCTCCTCCTGCTCCGGGGCTGGCGAGGCGCTGGGCTGCACCATGGGCACATCGGCTTCCCTTCTGCCGGGGGACGTGGATCCTGCAGCTCCTCCCTCAAGCACCGGGCTGCCGGAGGAGTCGGTCTCATCAGAACCAGCCTGGGCTGCACCGCTCTCGCTGGCCTCTCCCCTCGTGGGGCTGGGCACCGCTCCACGCACGTTCTCCGCTGGCTCCACGGTGAGATCTCTCTGCGGAGGCGGCACCACCAGGAACAGTTTGGGCTTCTTGGAGATGGGGGGAGGCGGCTTTTTGCTGGGAGAAGGGCCGGGGGCCCTCTGGAGCGGGGCGGCGGCGGGGCCCGGCCCGGCCTCTGCCTCCGCGGCACTGCCCGGGCTGCGGCTCGGGCGGCCACGCTCGGCTGCACCGTCCTGGTGACCCTGACTCACGCTCTTGGCAGGAGTCGGAAGCGAGCTTGTCACGGAGGCAGGCTGGCTTTCACTCTCCATTTCATTTATGCTATTTCGGGATTTCAGGAAGGCAGATGGCTTCAGATGATACTGGGGCACAGGCGGGGTTCGTCTTTCCTGAGATGCTTGTTCGGATAGCGGTGCTCCGGGGGCTCCCGGGCCCTTTCTCACCGGCCTCAGCTGCACCGTCTGCAGGGCCTCGGTGGTGATCAGGGGCAGGGGCGGCCTGCCACCGTCCTCCTTGCTCCCCGGCGGTCTGGAGGCCTCCTGGGGGGACACTGGCTGGCTAGACTTTTTGAAGGAGGACTGCTTGGCCTCTTTCATCAGCTTGGGGTCGAGTGGTGGGGCAGGAGGAGGGACGGAGGAGGGCAAAGAGGGTGGAGGGGGCAGCAGCGGGGCAGGCGCGTCCAGAAGCGGGCTCCGGGCGGTGGGGGGAGGAGGAAAGCAGGAATCAGGAGGAGAACCAAAGGGAGAGAGAACCTCTGGGGGCGGAGGGGGGAACAGGGGAGACCGAGGCAGAGGGGGGCCCTCGGGGGAATCAGCTAAGGGCGGGGGAGGAGGGAGGAAAGGAGACTTGTCCGCAGCACACGGAGACAAAGGCGAGGGGAGAGAGGGGCCGGCCAGGAGGGCGGCCGGGGCCGAGTCCAGCCTCCTCACCGTGCCGCCGCCCTCCGTGGACGTGTTGGAGGAGAGGGACGTGGACGACGAGGAGATGGAGACCGAAGACACCAGGGAGGACTTCCTCTCCGGGACCTTGGGCTTGGGCTTCCCCTTCCCGTTGGCGGGCGACAGGGGCTTCAGAAACACGGGCACGGGCGTGAGCGCGGTGGGCGTGTTGGACTGGCTGGAGTAGCCGCTGGACGGAGAGGTGACCCGGTGGGGCTTCTCGGGGGACGTGACCTTCGGTTTGACGGAGCCTCCGGGCAGGTGGGGGGCCCCGGCCCTGCACCCCTCTTGGACGTGAGGCCCCGGCCCGTTCCCCGCTGGCGCCCCACCGCCAGCTGCACCACCGCCGCCGCCGGGGTTGGCAGGGTCGTCCTGCAGGCCCGTGTAGTCGATGTAGTAGCCCCAGGGGTCCGTGTACTCGGACTTGACGCTGCTCGTGTCGCTCTGGGTCGGGGTGAGCCCGCCGGGCGCGCAGCCGCCGCCGTGGGGCGCGGTGGCGGCCGAGGCCAGGCTGCTGCCCCCGCTCACGGTGCTCTGGCTGCGGGAGCGCGGCAGCCACGGCTCCTCCAGGTCGCTGCAGGGGCTCTGCGAGGGCGACAGGCCGCCCTGGGCCCGCAGGCTCAGCTGCAGCGAGTGCTGGAGGGAGGCGATCAGGCTCTCGTTGAGCACCTGCCCGTTGGCCGCCTCCGCCGCCGCCGCCGGGGCGTTGCTGTTCTTCTTGGGGACCCTGCGCAGGGAGTCCGTGCGGGACGGGGGCAGAGGCGGCTTCTTGGCCTTCTTCAAGGAGATGTTTCGAGAATGGGCCCTGTCCCCTGGGTTCTTCGGAGCCCTGCCGTCGAAAACGTTGATCACGCTGTGCCGGGGGTGCCCGAAGCCGTTGCTGCTGCTGCTGCTGCCGCTGTTGCTGCACGGATGGCCAGGCCCATGCCCAGCATCCGGGTGCAGAGATGCATAGTAGCCGTCGTGGTCCTCGGTGTACAGGGACCTGGCGCCCTCTCTGTGGGACGCCTGGTCCAAGCTGCAGCTGCTCAGGTTACTCCCGGGAGTGGAGCAGCCAGGGGTCGCCGGCGGAGGCTTCAGGGGGGACGCCCGCCCGCTCCCGGAGGCGCTGCTGCAGTCCGAGGGCTCCCTGCCTCCGGGGTAACCGGGCTCGCTCTTGACGTCCGCATCCTGGGGGTGGGGTGGGAAGTGCGGGTTCCTCCGACAGGCGTAGGCCATGGCGTGGGACCCGTTCTCCTGGTTCGCAGGGGTGCGGAGGGAGCCCGCTGAGTCGCAGAGGGCCAGGAGGGCGGCGGCCCTGGGGGGGTGGGGGTCGAAGGCCTGCGAGAGGATGGAGGCGGGACCCTCGCTCCAGGGACCCCCGGGGGACCGGCGATCGCCTTCGCCGGCGTGCCTGGACAGCAGGGGGTCTCTGGACTTCCCCTTCGCGTGGGGCGCGGAGCGGGTCCTCTTGCCGTCCGGCTGCCCCAAGCCCTGAGCGGTCTGAATGGCAATGACCTCCGAGGAGGAGGAGAGGGTGGCGTTGGGGATGACGCTGGTGCTGTAGGTCCCGTGGGGGGACACCACGCATGCGGGGCCTGCCCTGTTTTCACCCTCCAAGCGCCTCAGCTCCTGGGACTTGGGCCTGCAGAGCGTCCCAGACCTCGAGGCGCCTCCTAACTGCCCTAAGTTTTCCAACGCGCCGTCCAGGTCTTGTGCGGGGCCCTGCAGGCTGGCCCTGGCCGCGGAGCGGGGCAGACTGTGGAAACCCGCGTCCGTGTAGAGGCGCGAGGGGAACACGACGCCCGCAGAGTCGCTCAGCACAGACATGTTCCCCGAGGAGCCCGACAGGTGGCTCATCTGGGCGGCGATGCCCAGCCCCTTCTGGGCCCGGATTCTCCGCATGGAAGGCGGCACGACCTTCACCTCCTCCGTCTGGCAGCTGGAGTCCCGGGTCTCCGAGCGCGGCCCCGCGGGCCGGCAGCCGCCGTGCCTCCCCAGCGTGGAGCAGTGGTCAGGGGCATAGGCCGAGGGGCCGCCGGTACCATCCTGGCCGCTGCCGGAGGCTGGAGATAAAGCAGAAGGAGGCCTGTTACCTAAAACTCAGTCTCGTAAGCTCATCACCCGAACCCTCATCTCCTTCTGGCCCTGCTGTACTTAAAAATCACACACACACACACACACACACACTCTCCCTCCCCCTCCCTCCCTCCCTCCCTCCCTCTCTCTCTCTCTCTCTCTCTCTCTCTCTCTCTCTCTCTCTCTCTCTCTCTCTCTCATCTCGTTTCTTTCCTCCCCTAGGCACCTGAGAGTTTAAAGAGTTACCAAATAGCTCCTAAAATAAAAACCCTTATTATGAACTTCATGCACTTCATTTGTACCTCAAACCCTCCTATCGATTAGGTGCTGCATAAGGAATTCTTAGGTACTCCCCATCGAGATCAAGGCCGAGAGCTCTGTGGAAGGTTTACTCTCCAAGTAACCTTCCTTCTGGTTTTGCAAAGATTTCCAAGCAGCCAGTCACCCAGGAGCGCCTGCCCAGAGCATCTCTCTGACACACAGGGACTGTCTTTTCCAAAGACAGATGAATGCACCAGTTCAACAACAGGGCTCCAAAGAGACACCATTTGTGAAGGATATGGGTATAAAACAGTGTTAATTACATTAATCTCTACGGCAGAAGAAAATCCTAAGAAAAAGAAAAAAATTATTGATAGGCCCATCTGTGTTTCAAACATTACTCTTATCCATCTCAAGCCATCATCATCTGACTGTCAGTGACATTCAAAATTCAACAGCAATCTGTTGTGTTCTGGTAGGGAAAAAGCAGCGGGAACTGATCCAGCGAGCGTTTCCTCAAATTAGCGTTATTCATTTCTTGGAGCTTTTCAAAAAGAAAAAGAAATAAAAAAGCACAAGGAAGGCCAAGCAGAGAGGGAAGTGGAGGAGAAAACACCTTCAATGTAGACAACAGCTAGATTTCAAGTACCTAGGAAAGAACAGAAGCTTTAAAAAAAAAAAAATCATGAAGGCAAAATGTAGAGAAGAAAAATCAATTCATGCAGAGTAATCATTAGGACAAATTAAGTCTTGAAAATCAGTAGCAAAACCACAGTTCTCTCTACACTGTTCTCTCCCAACAAAGGCCCGAAAATGGCTGAAGCAGGGGCCTGCCGAGTGAGGCTGGCTGGGCACCCACCAGCACTACTGTCCGCCCGGCAAGCACATGGCAGCAATGTTCCCCGTGCAAACCGCAAGGAGATGTCGCCCTGCGGAGGCAGGCACCCAGCACCAAGCCCTTCCTTTCCCTGTGCTGATGGAGAATCACTTTTGTACTCATATCTCTCCCCAACAGGATCCATTTCCCTCTCCTTCCCCTCTGCCAACTACCCACTCACTAAAGATACACACAGACTCACGCACGCACACTCACACATATGCATATGAAAGAGCAGAAACAAGCGAGAGGGCAGGAACAAAAGAAAAACCCACTTCGTTTTGCCATTTGGTACAAGTATGGAAGGTGGGAGCCTGACCTGTATGGCACTATCAGTTTGTAGCAGTTTGATTCCAAACATTCAAGATACCTATTCTACTCAATGATGGGATTTAATATCTCTTCCTGCCCCCCTCTCCCCCCCAACCCCCCCCCCCCCCGCCCAGCCCCGAAATTGTAATAATTTTTGAATGGGGTCCATGGTAGATTTTTAACTGTCTCTATGGGCCATCATGTCCTGCTTCTTTCAGGTTATAATTCTGAACGTGAAACCCTTCTAGGCTTCAGAAAATGAGCATATAGCCACTTCTTCACCCAAATACAATTTTCTTATGAAAATAACACTGTTTTCCTAAAGACCTTTAAAAATGGAAAAACTCATATACCATTTAAGAGAGGGACCATCAAAATTCTATTCCAAAAACAGGTCCTCCAATATTTTCACACTACAAAAAGTGTCACAATATTACAGATTCAGATGCTACATTGGTTAGAATGAAAGAACAAAGCCAGACTACAAAAAGAGAACTACAAACAAGTATATACAATTAGATGCTGCTAAAAATATCACTGGGATTTATCTGATTTAAAAACATAATGTAAAGAAATAATTACGTATATTTTCTTTTACTTATTATATAATATTGTAAGGGATTCTCGATTTTTAGAGAACACATGTAATCAAAGACAGAAATGAGTTAGTTGATTTAAGATTTACGTAGGATTTTTAAAAAGTCTTATCAGCACCTGTAACTAATATATTATTGCATGTCAAGTATAATTGAAAATCTGAAAAAGTTTTGGCAGGTCTTTAGTGATGTTTTTAATATAAACCTATCAGACATTATTCAGAAGAAGATTACTTTAAATCAGGCTTTTTCTGCTTGGGAAATACATATTGGGATAAATTTCAGAAATAGCCAAATATAATTATCATCAACAAATTAACCCTATCTGAGTCTAAAAAAGAAACCTCACAATAGGGTGTTCAAATATACTTCAATGTAGGTTTATGATAAGATTAAAGAAAAAAACTAAAATTTTGTCCAATTCATTTAAATGAAGGTAATAAATAATAAGTCATCAAATATACTTTGGAAGTAAACAGAAAATATCACAACCTTGATTTTAAAGTGTTGTATTAGCTAATCTCTAGAGTCCACCATTGACAGATTTTGAAGTAAAAGCTGCATATAATTAAGCATAATATAATTATAATTATAATTCTGGACACATCTCTGGTTAGATTTTTTAAAAATCCAAAGCCCTGGCAACCTGGGTAGTGTATAGAGGATAGAACATCTAGACAATTCCTAAAATGAAGAAAGAAAAAGTATGATTCAGTTTTTCCCCTAAATGTCACTGTATTCAAATGTCATTTTCCCCTTAGTCTATCTACCATTCCTTCCAACTAGTCTACCTATAAAACTAGTCATTGTGCCCTGGCCAGTGTGCATAGTAGTTAGAGTACTGGCCATGCACCAAAGGGTTGTGGGTTCGATTCCCAAGCAGAGGCACATACCAGGGTTGAAAGTTTAATCAGGGCAAGTGTGGGAGGCAACCAACCTATGTGTCTTTCTCACATCAATGTTTCTCTCTCCCACCCTCTCTCTCACTCTAAAAATTAATGGAAAAAAATATCCTCCAGTGAGGATAAAAACAAAAATTGAGAGTCATTGTCTAATTTTTTTTTTTTTAACTATTGTAGTTCTAACTTAGATATAGCTGTCTCAGTTGATCTCCAGCTGTGATCCAGGTCATGTCATTGACTGTGCAATGGCATCAACTGTTGCACATCTGGCAACAATCACAACATTGATGATATGGGGAAAGCTATTTTTTTTTCCCTCCATCCTTAGTAGTGGTTTCATGTCACATGCAAAAGAGAAATAAGCATGAGCTCCAGGGGCTCAAACATTCATTTAACAAATATTACAACGACAGAAGATATGAGTTCCCAAGCTGGCCAAATCATTCCAGTGAGGTCAAAGAGGCAAGTGAGTGATTGGCCCATACTGGTTGGCTCAGTAAAAAAAATGATAAACGTTCATAATTCTGAGGTCTAGAATTCCTATTACATGCATATATAGATAGTTCACATTGAATACTTAATGTGCTTGTGCATTTTATCTGGGCCAAACTATTCTTACACCCTTTGCACAAAGCCATCCAAAACCTAGCCATTTTGGTTGGAAAGCCGATTAAAATGCAGCCTACATTTGAAACATCAGCCTTGTTATCTTACAAAGGGCCTATCTTTAAAGTTGCTCCTTTTGGTTAAGACACATCTCTTAAAGATCATTTCAAATACAAATGTTACCTGAGTCATGTAAGAGATTCACTCATTAAGCACCTACTGAACATACATGTACATACTCATTTCTCAAATTAATTAGCTGTCATCTAAAAGAGAAAAAAAGTTTGAAAGAATAATACAGAAGGACTGGCCACAAAAAAAAAACAAAACAAAAAAGGGCAGCATGAGGGGGTGTGAACCACAGACAGACCTCACAATCCTGGGGTGTCGTCTTGCCTTCGTTCTAACCCCCAGGTATGGGATAAGACGAGCACCTGGAGTCACCTGGGTCACTGGAGCTATAAGTGCAGGAGCAAAGCACTGCTACTCTTGTCTCGCTGCAGTCCGCAAGGCAGAGCCCAATACTGGGAACTGAATGGCAGTCCAAGAGGAAACGTCAGGAAAAGAAGAATGGGCAAGGGTGCTGGGTAGACATACATAGGAACAGTGTCTACAGCACCCGGAAGCTGAAATGCTACCTCAAAGTGCTAGAATAGGCATACCACTATGGCTAGGATACATTCATTGTAACCAAGAGGCAAGCTCAGTAGTAAGAATTCTGAGTTTCTAGAGTAAAACCTTTAATAGTCGTAAAAGTAAAAACATCAGGTGAGGAAGTATTTATAATGAAATAAGTCCAGATGTTGGCTGAAGAGAAAGGCACACTTCTAGAAAGGTAGTATCAAGTTCCCTATTGTCACTACAATAGCAGCTCTTATGCTCAGAGTAGTACCAGATACCAAGGGCTTCACTTATATTAATTTATATTAAATCCAACCAACCCTCCCTGGAATGAGAAAGTACTCAGAGAAGTGAAGGAACCAGCCGGAGGTCACCCAGAGTATTAGTGGCAGAGGTAGGGTGAAAAGCCAAGCAGCCTGGCCCCAGAGTCCCTGTGCTGACCCGGACTGCCCGGCTGCCTCTTCAGACGTTCCTGACGGGCCCGCTAAAAACCAGAGAAGAAGTGAAGGTAGAAAGAGGAGAATGAAGAGATTATCCATAGTGTATGTATATACAGGTAAGCAGAAACAAATGGGTACGTTAATAATGAAGTAAACAACCTCCCCACTAGCTAGTTTTTTTCTGTTTTTATCACAGGTCCACTGGAAGTACAGAAACGCATTATCCAACCTAAATGACTATTTTCCATCATACTAGTAGTTATTAATGATCCCACACTGCTGTCTCTTTGATGACAATGCCACGGATACTGTCAGTATAACTAATGAAGTCCACATCCGTAACTTTAAGTTCTAGAATGAGTTTTCAGTTTTATGAAAACTTTAAAATCTAAATATGAAAAGTAAATTTCATTGTGGCAGTTCCCCACTGTTTAAGGTGCACAGAGATGATGACATAACTATGAATTTCTACCATCCCAGTGAACAGTTTTCATATAAGCTTCTTGTCTTACCTTGTCACCAAAATTCAATACATCATCTGCATAGGGTGTTAAGATTTGTACCCAGTGCCTCATTCGGGAAAGAAGCTGGCCCTTTGGGGCACCAGATGGCTATCAGAATGTATCGATTTCATAAGCACCACAGATGAGGTTAGCATAGGAATGCTGAGCAGCAAATGAGGGGCAACAGAATACAGTTCTGATGAGCCATACCTAGCTCCTTCTGTATGTTGTCAGGGATTCCTGTAATAGTCTTTCTCCTTTTGACTTTCTTCGGTCGTCTTACCAGTGTGTCTGTGTAAATTAGAGACCGCCGAAGGCTGGCCTGGCGATCGAAATTCTCCCCTAATGTAGAGTAGTAGAACAAGCAAAGCAATGTTATTTTTTAAGCAAGCTGACACCATGCACTTTCTTCCAGAAGCTTGTTGTCAAATGATAAGAAGGTATTAATAATGATGTTAGCCAGTCATGTGGTGATGAATGAATGCTGAAGGGCAAAAAGGGAAGGAAAGCACATTATCATCATAAGGCTCTTTTCCAATTTCTCTGTGTGTGTGTCCTTCCAAAGGAAGCACCTGGATCTCATTTTCAAATGAGCTGGAGTGGAAAATGCAAATTCATTCACAACATGCCAGAAGAGTGATTCTGCATTATTTTAGACATGAGTCACCTGGGAAGTGTTTCACACAGGTCCTCTGATCACAGGCATCACTCGTCACATCAGCGTGCATGTGATGATGGCAATAGATGTATCTTAATCATTTGGTCAATGCCAGAGACCATCCCAATGTCCCATCCTATGTGATGAAACAGATAACTCAAGAACTCTTAGATGAAGAGTTTTTCTTCCAGTCAAGGAGGCAGACAATTTGGACAGGCTATGGAAGGTAGCTGTGATGTGAGATACTCTGATGAAACATAAAAAGCCTTATAATGATAAGGGACTTTTACCATAATGAGACCCAGTAGCACTGCTTGTTGTTAAAGCTGAACTGCTTCTTTAATCATAGTCACTTATAATAGTTGATCTGAATTTAGACGTTTCCGGTAATGCTGCAATCAATCCCCCCAAATGTCAGATCCACAGGACTTCTTTCTCTCGAGAATGTGGGCTTGTGTGATTGACACACAATGGGAAAACATTAAAAAAATAAAGTATCAGTTTTTGATTGGTCCACTTTAAATGACTTGCCAGCTTAATTAAAGAAAGTTTTATAGCGCTGATCTTGTCAAGTGGTTATCTCCACAAAAAAGAGATTTTAAAAATGCATATATATACACACACAAATTATGTACTCCCTCCACTCTATTGTTGTGAGAAAAGTATAAAAGCATTCTTTCTTTTTAGCAATACTGGCCCATTCAAAGTGGGCATTTTGTGAACAAGGTACTTTCTATCATAATAGGAATAAGTTGTAAATAAAATTTTATCTAATCAAAACAGATGATAAAAGAGCTAAAGGATCAAACTGCATTTCACCTACTAAGGAACAAAGTTCAACTTGAAAACTCTTGCCACTTTGCTCCTAATGGAGGAAAACAGAAACCACTGAGAGAAGATCCTGAAACACCAGAAGGCACCATCGCTGTAACAAATGTGTCGCTCTGTGCAACAGCCATGTAAGGTGTTTATAAGTGGCAAGTCTTGCCTTCAATGGTCCATTAGTTGCCTGCACCAGAGGGGAAAATATTGCCTTGTATCAAGGCATTAAGAATGGTTCAAATATTAATAGATAGTTGTATTTGGTCTCTAGTTTTGCTTCCTAAATAAAAACAAAAGATAAACCACTCAAGCTCCCAGGAAATTAAGAAACAAACCATGAGGACAGACATCACCATTAAAGATGTCAAACTTGTCCTAGCTGGTTTGGCTCAGTGTTTAGAGTGTTGGCCTGTAGACCAAAGGGTCCCGGTTCGATTCCAGTCAAGGGTACATGCCCGCTTGATTCCCAGTGGGGGGCGTGCAGGAGGCAGCCGATCAATGATTCTCTCTCATCAGTGATGTTTCTATAACTCCCTCTTCCTTCCTCTCTGAAATCAATAAAAATATATTGGGGGAGGGGAGATATAAAAAAGATCTCTATCTTACACTGTTACCTACAAGGACTCTGTCCCCCGATGGACTATAAATTTCTTGAAGGCAGGGACCAGTAGTTATTAGGTAAATACTGAATATTCAGAAAATATCTGAGAGGAATTGAATCATTCTCTTTCATTGAAAAAAATGGCATTAGTTAGTCATGGTTACTACTTAGAAATAAATTTTGCTGGCTCAAACATCAATACAAAGCCAGTTTGTAAAAACTGCTTAAGTATGTTTACTTACTCTTATTTTCCAGGTGGAAGAGTTGTTATCCCACCTGGCAGATTATGAAACATATATACATTTTATTTTAAAGATTTTTTTTCCTCTTCAACATTCAGAACGTGCTGAGTCCCACAGAATTACAACTGAAGGGGTGACATTGGTTTTCAAGCTTGCAGCTCCTGTGCTAATGTTCTACCTCTATGCCTGGCAGGCTTCACCTCGGATTTGAAATAATATATTTGTCGGCACTTTCTCCCCAGCTGAACCTTACTGAGAATCACACTAGAGGGTCAATGTTTACCCAAATAAATGAGCACTTGACAATTTCTGACAGGAAGGTACATTTTTATCTCAAAAGTCATCTGGGGCTTTAGAAAATGTCACTTAAATAGCAGGAAACTGTTTAACCTATGTCAATTCAACTACTAAAAGTGAAAATATTTAATTTAATGCTTTTTTTATACCAGACTATTAGAAAAATATTCCCTTTATGAAATATATGTATGTGTATGTGAACACATGTATCCAGAAAATGGATCAATAAATATGTAATTAGGAATTATGATTAATGTCTACATTTCTAAAAACATTAATCACACAAAAATAAATTGCATTTTGACATAACTCATATTGCTCCTTTTTTTTGTTATTAACCTTTCCTATGTGGCATTCTGAAGGCCTCCTTTTAAACTTCATGTAACTCATATCAAACGGGAGAGGATTAAAGCTCAAAGAAAGGACACTGTCTCCTGTTGTGCAATGCATTTCACTGTAAATAATTCATTACTCCTAAAATTCTAGTTACTCTGCTTTAAATTTACTTATCTCACAATAATATATTTTATCCTAATTCCATTAAGGATTGTCATATTTCATAGCACAACCTATTTATAATATTATTCCTGAGGCATTTAATCATATATAATTACATTCTGCTGCATTTAATCAATCAAATAATGTAGTGCATATTCTTGTAGAAAATATGCATCTATGTATTACATTGAGCAGTAAACTGTATACTTTGTTCTGAAACATAGTTACTTATAAAAATAATATTTAATAAATGTGATCTAGGTGAACAAGAATCACATTCAGAAAGATCAATGATGTTACCTGAAAAGGAAATGGACCAAAATGCCATGATATTCTTCCTTTAAGGCCTATGCACAATAAATGTGTGAAAATGCACATGGAATTTAAAATAATTCATGCACTTATTTATTACATTCCTCTGGAATTCAAAATGAGTTCTAAAAGTAATTTTTAAATGCAAGGTTTTAAAGAATTCTCCAATAACTATCAAAATGTCATAAGTCCTTTAAAAGTTAACCAATGCCATGGCAAAAAGCTTTCTAATGGCAGTAAACAGCAATAGTCTCAGAAACGCAGCAAATGTGCTATGGTTTTCATCCTAATTTTTTAATGAAAATTTATCCTTACTGGTAACCTGTTTCTTTTAGATTCTAGCCCTATAAGCCATGCTTTGTATGGACTGATAATCAATGAGGATGATCAGTACTCTATTCCTTTTAACACACAGTCCAATGGCTGAAGCTATAAACTCTTAACATATCTATTTTGCACTGTGTACATGCCTACCAACGTGATAAAACAGGAAATTTTGAAATTTTTAACAGCTCATCTAAGTTTGTGAAATACTGACTTTGAACTTCATGTACTTTGTAATTTGTCACCTTTAATCATCACAGGTGATTAAAACTTGAGCATACTATTCTAAAAGAACTTGAATTTTACATATGGCAGCTAGTATTTATATTCTAAAAATTCATATTAAAAATTAACTTTTATTTGAAGATTGTAGAATTTAAATTTTAGGGATCAAAATATAACTTTACCATCCTATTGAGGCTTTAAAAAATATATTTTATAGTTATTATTAATTCTCTTGATATTTTTATTTCAAGGAATTTTTCCCTCTTTTACCTGAGAAAACAAAAAGATAAAATCTATCACTAAGAAATATCACAAAATTGTTATTTCTTTACCTTTATAAATATTACTTAAAATAACTTTTAGGGGAAAAATAAACAAACCCACATAAATATTTCTTATCCAAAATCACATTTACAATATGTCTCCATATAATCAAAATATTTTTTAAAGCTAAGTCCATTTAAAAAAAAATAGGCTTCAAATGAACAGTTGGACCAAGTAGTTCTTCCACATCAACCTTTGGTGACAGCCTTCTTACTTAAAAGCTATAGCTATTGTACATGTACACATATAAATAAGTTTTAGTATTCCCTTCATTAAGCAACAATCAGGAATATACATATATTACAGCTTTCCGTCTGATGTATAAAATGCGAAGTGCATATCACAACAGCAACAAAAAGCCAGTCATTCCCCGGAGTACATTTTGAACCTTGTCTACACAGCAAAGCATACCGGTTATGTTAATCGGAACCACATCAGCCTGGACTGTCTGGGCGTGCAGCCGCATCTTCTCTTCTGGCGTTGGCAAGGGAAGAGACTTGGCCCAGTTCGTCTGAGTATTAAGATCAGGGAAGTCACTTGAGGTTGGCGTTTTAGGTCTCCTGGTGGGCATATGTCTTTCCTCTTCCGAGGAGGAGACAGAACCCTGTAAGGGGAATGAGGGAAAAGAAGCCACGGTGTGTAAAGAGCTGACAGAAACATTTTTTTTTTTTTTAAACTTAAACTGATTTGAAGCAAAAACAAATACACAAACAACAACAAACTAAAACACCCGGTCACATTTTAGGAACAGAAGCAATGGTTTGCAAGAACTCTGGCTCAGCATCCTAAGCATGACCTGTAATGATGATGGTTCGCAGAGGCCAGAGGCCCTAAACCGTGGACAGCCGAAGGTTTTGCTGACCCACAGAATCTTAAGTTCTTCCTGTTTCCTGTGGTCGGAAGATTACGGATTCAGTTTAACATAAGAAGCCCAGAGACACAACACGGTTATGGCCATCAATTTCCATTTTTATTAAAATGCAGTTTGGCTCAAAATAATTTCTAGCCTCAATCTCATTTCCTTTAGGCCCTGGCCTCAAGGGACATTTGGAAAATGATAGAGCTATTGTTGTTCAACTACTTGTGCTCTTCCGAAGCCATTTATATGGAAAAATATCCGTGTAAAATTGCTCACTTAGAAGAAGCTGACTAAAGCTGTGCCCTGAGCCTTATCAGAATTCCATGAGAACATTTCTAGCAGTGTCGGTTTTGATACAGATTAACATCCTAACTGGGGACCATCTTGAATACCTTTCCTCCCATAATGTCTTAAAAAGAGTAAGCAAGAAAGCTGTTTTGGCATCTGATGATGGCCCCATGGCAACTGGGTTGGTGCCAAGGAAGCTCCAAGAACTCAAAAGAAATACAATGAGCTCGGCACAACAACAGAAAGGGGTAACTGACTTTTGTTGGGAGATGGCAGTTTATAATAAGAATGAGCGTATAAGAACGTTTAATAAATGTATATTAAATGCTTCAGGTGGAAAGTGTTTAAACTACCACCTGTGAAAATATGGCACTTAAAAGAATTTTACTTAAGAATAAAAAGTCAGTGAACCTTCCCAAGGGAACACCTATAAAACCAGGACCTAGGTCACTTCAGCAGCTCCCCTTTCCTCCAAAACAAGAGTAACTGCCCTCCTGACTTCTAACATCACAGCTTCCTTGGCCTGTATTGAACTTTCTGTAAAGGAACTCACTGCAGGTCTCTTTTGTGACTTCTTTCACCCAACATTTCATTTGGAAAGATTGATACTTTTAAAAAAAGAACCATACATATTTTTTATTGATTTCAAAGAGAAAAAGGGTGAGGGAGAGAGAGAGAGAAACATCAATATCAATAATGAAAGAAAGTCACTGATCCACTGCCTCCTGCATACCTCCTCCCTGGCCCCCCACACCCGCCCCAGTCCCGCTCCCCAAATAGGGAGCGAGCCTACAACCTGGGCATATGCCCTAAATGGGAATTGAACAGTGACCTCCTGGTCATCAGGCCAATATCCAACCACTGAACCACACCAGCCAGGCAAGGATTGATCCATTTTTAAAAAGCATATGTTAATGTCTTTCTGGATTTAATACAAGTTTTTGAGAGGACATCAGTAAAAAGTCTTCAGAAACCCATCATTTAGAAATCTCAAACACCTAGAACAACACTGTCATCACTACTGCTAATGAATTAAACTTCCCACTAAATACCTGTATGTATTTTACAAGTACCGCCGACAATCTGAAAAGGGCTACACAGAACAGATGAAAATGGTTTGGGGTGTTAGGGATAGATAAGGTCTTAGGCGAAGAATCCAAACACCTGAGTCTATTCACTTTATAACTTACAGTCGAGGGACCTTTAGGCTGTTCCTAAATGTTGAGGTCCCTTGCTGTAAAATGGGAATATCCTGTACTCTTAGGACCTCATGAGATGATAGCTGTGGAAATGTCTAGGGCAGTTAAATATCATGGCCATAAAGGTGGTAGACATATAAATGCGACTTTATGACAACAAAATCATGAATTGACAAGTACCTGCATTTTTCTTTTATTGTAAGACTACCCATAATAAAAGCATCTATTAATAGCTAATAAAAGAGTAATATGCAAATTAACCACCACTCCGCTATACCCACAAGCCACGCCCATGAGCCAATCAGAGCAAGTATGCCAATAAACCCAACCAAGATGGCTACAGCCACAGAAAGCAGGAGGGAGGCTTGGGTTTCCCAGGCAACGGAAGAAGCCAAGCTTTCCGCCTGCCCTTGCCGGCCTAAGCCTCCACTCAAAGCTACAAAGTTTCAATTATAGAAGGTAAACAAATCCAAACAGAAATGGTGGAAGCCACAGAGTGAGCAGGAGGCTTGGCTCCGCTTCAGGCTACAAAGTTTCAATTGTAGAAGGTAAATAAATTCCAGATACTTGGGTCACCAGGGGGCATGGCCGGCCTGCAAACCACCACAGGCCCCTTGCTCAGGCCGCTCCATGCCTCAAGGGAACCCCCACGCTGATCCAGAACACCCTTCAGGGTAAACCATCCATGCACCAGGCCTCTATTCTATCTAATAAAAGAGTAATATGCAGATTGACAATCACTCCAACACACAAGATGGCTGCCCCCATGTGGACACAAGATGGCCACCACAAGATGGCCAGCAGGGGAGGGCAGTTGGGAGGCACCACACCTGCAAGGGAGGACAATTGAGAGGGACCTGGCCTGCAAGGGAGGGCAGTTGGAGGCAATGAACCCTGCAGGGGAGGGCAGTTAGGGGTGACCAGGCTGGCAGAGGAGGAAAATTGGGGGCAAATAGGCTGGTAGGGGAGCAGTTAGATATCAATCAGGCTGGCAAGGGAGTGATTAGGGGGAGATCAGGCTGGCAGACAGGAGCAGTTAGGGGCAATCAGGAAGGCAGGTAGGTGAGCAGTTGGGAGCCAGGAGTCTTGGATTGTGAGAGGGATGTCTGACTGCCCATTTATAACTGATCCCACTAGGCAGTTTAACATCCCTCAAGGGGTCCCAGATTGGAGAGGGTGCAGGCTGGGCTGAAGGACACCCCCTCCCCCGCCCCCATGCATGAATTTCATGCACTGGGCCTCTAATATAGAAATAAAAATATAAATTGTATTTTTTACTTTAAATTCTTAATACATAAAACATGTAACATGATGACCTAGTTTCTTTTTCACCTAAGGAAACTATAAAATGTCTGTAATTAAATAACAAACATACTCATTTGGAGTATGTGTTACTGGCATCTTAATCATGATACATATCCATTCATGTTGGATCTGACACTGGCTACAGATCCTGAAAAAAACAAAGGAATGTTTGAGTCAGCTAAGCCAGGCTGACATAAATCAATTATTTCTGCCCCCTTTGCAGTTGTGATACTCTTGTTAAGTTTGATTTATAACACAGATTCTCTTCTCTTACGCTGTAGATACACATACACATAAAGTAAAACTAATTTTGAGAATTTCATGTCAATTTGTGTAAAGGTCACATGTCTGAGGTTGAATCTTAATCTAGTAAATTAAAAGGTTACTCCAGTTTTCTGATATATTTACACAGAAATAATTTTCCAGGCAACCTTGAAATATCACACAAATTCTGAAGGCCTTAAGAAGCACATCCTAACTGAAAGGCTTAAGAGAAAGGAAAGGAAAACCTCAAAGGGCCAGAGAATAAATAGCTCGGCGACATCCTGCGGAGAGGATTCCCGTTTCGTGTGAGGCCCGCCCGCTGAGGGACCCGGAGGAGCTCGGTTCTGTGGTTTGCATGTGTCTCAATGGTGCTCATCAGGCCTAGTAACCTACTTCTCTTTCAGCTGTCAGAACCGATAGCTATCACCATGAAACAGTACTTCCGTTAGCCTCGTGACCATGGGACGATCACCAGGGACAGCTCCGATGTGACAGCTGGCAAAGATCATCTATTTTGTAAAGTGCTCCCTTCGTTTGCAAGAAAATTTCCCAGACACGCAGGGCAGAGGTAATGCTATTTGCAAAGTGACTGTTATGCAGACCTACAATCTACTGAAGAAAATTTGAAAACCAGGATGGTATGACTTCCAAAATGACCTGACTCCCATCCCTCCTAGTACTTATAAATACAGCAGGAACACAGAAAAAACCTCCTGCATCTCAACGGCAGAACACCTCACAAGTATTCCATTAAGACCGGCGTTGGAGCGCTACAGATTATCACCTTCGCCTCTTCACTGGCCTGCATGCTTCTGTCCTTGTTGACTACCCTCCCGTATTCCTCCCCTTTCAACATGGTGCTCCCTCTCTCATAGCCTCCAAGATCCTTACGATGGCCTACAAAACCCTACGTACGTGATCTATGAACTGGCCCCCTGCCAACAACGACCTCATCTCCCAACTAGTCTGTCCCTTGTTTATCCTACCCCATCACACCATACTCCATGAATATCCTGGTACTCATCACACACATTACTGCCTCAGGGCCTTTGTGCTTGTTGCTCCCACCACTTGAAATGTTCTTCCCTCAGACATCCACGCAAGTATAACCTTCTTATTCTTCAGGTGCTTGGTTTAGTCAAGAGTCCCCTTCCTGTTGAGGTCTCAGCTGTTCACCCTACCTAAAATTTTAACTCCATCTCAAGATTTTATATCCCCTTTTCAGCTTTCTAAGCTTCTCTTTAGTTCATATATATCACCAGTATGCACATACTTTAGTTATTTGTCTCTCCCAAGAGAATGTAAGTTCCGGAACCTTTAAATTGGAACTGCAAAAGAGCTATCTCAGAATTTTGAAATAGCTCTTTGTTCAGTTTGACTCAGTGAATAGAGCATTGGAACTGCGGACTGAAGGGTCCTGGGCTTGATTCTGGTCAAGGTACATGCTGGGGTTATGCGCTTGATCTCCAGTAGGAGGCAAACAGGAGGCAGCTGATCAAAGATTCTTTCTCATCATTGATGTTTTTATCTCTCTCTCTCTCTCTGAAATCAATAAAAATCTTTTTTTTTAAATAAAAATTAAAAAGGGACCACCATCTAGTAACTGAGTTTTAGATGGCTTTCCTTGGGTTACAGGCTTTAAAGGAATTGGTTCCTCATTCAATTTTCACAGCATGAGCCCCACTTTGTCAATAAGAACGTGGCCTAGCCGAAACTGGTTTGGCTCAGTGGATAGAGCGTCGGCTTGCGGACTGAAAGGTCCCAGGTTCGATTCCGGTCAAGGGCACGTACCTTGGTTGTAGGCTTAACTGTGAAACACAGATTATCCCAGGCTTATTAAAAAAAAAAAAAAAAAAAAAAAAAAAAATCTGCTCTGCTTTTAAAAATTGGAAAATATAATTATAAACAGCTAAATTTAGTATTCACTTAGTAACTATAACATAAGAATAGACACTGAACCGATGAAACAACATAGGACACTGTTTAAGAGAACACCAACATACATTCTAGACCTTTTAGTCTTTGGTGATTCTACTCCCAAAATTGTATCTCTTTTGGGTTGATTTTTGGTTTTGAAGATTCTAGATAGTTATATAAAGTGTCAAAACTATTTCAGTCTTTCTTGGCTATATGCTGCTTCTACTCAGATCCACGAGATCCTGACTGACTTGGTTCTCTCCTATTCCTTCCCCATCCCGGACACAACAACAACAACACAGAAGTCAGGGGCAGTGGACATGGATCCACACAAAAGCACAGTTCATGTTCTTCCTGGCAACTCCATGATTTGGCTGGGAGGTGGTTTTCATACCCACATTGTTAAGTAACTAATTGTTCCTTCTCTCTTATTCAGCATATTAGTCCCTTTATCACAAAACCTAGGCCTGTCAAGGACTCTAGAAACTTTCTTACCATGTACTGAATTAAAATAGTTTGGATTTAAACTATCCCGTATTAGGTGATCTTTTCCTCAAAATAATGAAAATAGGTAATTAGAGTATACATTTTAATAGACATAGTAACTTCTTATCTTAATAATCTTTTGATTAGAGTAAATCATAGATCCAAAGTCTACAGTACAACATAATGAATATTTAAGAATTCGCTACCCAACCCATGCTCACAATATTACCAGTAATTGCATCCACCTCCATGCTCTTCCCTGCTTCCCCAGAAGTAATCACTCTCCTGAATTGTGTGTTAATCATTCCCTTCCGTTTTTTTTTTTTGTTTTTTTTTTAAACAAGAGTATAAATATGCCTAAATTACATGTTTATATTTATTTGGACTTTTATAAAAATGGTATCGTGCTCTTTGCACTGTTACTTATTTACTTGTAATATGTTTCTAAGACACATGCATATTGTTGTGTGAGCTTGCAATTCACTGGTTTTACTTGGGTACACATTGCATTCCAATATCACATTTATTTATCCATTCTTTTTTTGTCCTTATCTCCCCATTGCTTCCACCACCACCACCACCACCACTCATGCCCTCACCCCACTGGTGTCTGTGGCTGGTCAGGCTTATATGCATGCATATAAATCCTTTGGTTGGTCTATTCTTTTATTGACTGCCTTTGAGCATGAAGGCGGTGCATTAATAATTACACAGGACAGCAGCTGTAAACCAGGGTTGTGGTTTATAACTCTTTACAGTTGAGGAAACCGAAGCTCACAAGCAATTTAGCCAAGGCTGCCGCCACCGCGGACAGGTGGGAAAGCTGACCCAGACCAGCGCTCTCAAGCATCATGTTATGTAAGCCTCCGACATCTGCAGTTAGAGAGCAAGGCTGCTATCCTCTGTATTCTTCAAAGTCCTCCTTTGATTCAAATATCTCTGATCAAGGAAGACTAAAACAGAACCTGAGATGCCAGTTCAATGAATAACAGGAAATAGGAAAGAAAACTTTAGTTTCTATCAATACTATTAAAGCCAACTGTTTATTGCCATAATCCCAGCTTCACTTATCTGTTTGGGGGTGAATTTTACACAAGAGATTGAGTAACTCATGACTGACATGCTTTCTGCTGAGACAATGGGGCCTCTATGAACATGTCTGGGACTCAGTGAACATATCATCAAATATAACCTCCGACATGGCAGTTGGAGAAATGCCCTATCGACTCACAGGATGTATTTTAGCATCTATAGCTGAACTTCCTCCAAATACCTGAATAACCTCTTTGGTAGTACCCGGCACACAATGAAAGCTGAAAGAACAAAACAGAAATGTGAAGACCAAAACAACACTAAAGTAATGATTTACTTTCTGATTCTGTGGGTGAATTTGTGGATTCCTACATCCCTCTGCAGACAGCATTTTTCATGCAGCATGTTTAATATTTAGATGATGTACAGACATACATAGTTGGAAATACTTCAAACAATTTTTTTCTCGCCACACTATGTCACCACTTTGAAAGATATATATGGTTATCATTAGCCAAATATCTTTCTTCATACCATAAACTTGACGTTTACTTGGCAAATACTTTGCATTTATTATTCTAAAATAATTATCCAGAATAAATAATCTGAACAGATGTCTTCTAGGTTCTCTGTTCTAATTTATATGTTCTTAACCTTGACCTTATTAGCAACTCTCCTTTTAGGATAGGGCTTCTGTCTTAAATATATAACAAATGCTTAGTATTTGTTGAATGCAAGTAATGCTTTTTTTCTATCATTTGATGATATGTTCACTGAGTCCCAGTCCCAACTGCTTTTGATGTCAGAGCACCCGTTGCCTAAACCTTTAATTCATGTGTCCCTTCTAAGACAGTCTACTGGTCTCTTCACCTTTTATCTCCATCCCCACCGCCTACCTAAAATGCTAAGTGTCCAGTCAATCAGTCAGCCATTCAACCAATCAAAGTGTAATATGCTAATGATATGCTAAAGTCACTCAACAGTTCATTATGACATGTACTGACAACTAGGGGGGAGATGCTCCTACTGGTAGGTTAGCTTGCTGCTTGGGTCCGGCTGATTGGGACTGAGTGAGACGGGCCAGGCATACTCTGGAGCCCTCCCACAGTCCCTCCCTGTCTGGTCAATCTCCTGTGTCCCACCCTGGCCCTGATCGTGCACCGGTGGGATCAGATGGCCTGGCCTGTGCCCTCTCACAATCTGGGACCCCCTCAGGGGATGTCGGAGAGAGGGTTTCAGCCTGCCCTGCACCTGCAGGCCTAGGGACCCCACTGGTGCATGAATTCATGCACGGGGCCTCTAGTTCTGTAATAAAAATCTGGGTCAAATCTTCATTAGAAAACCAAAAATTTAATATATTAATTTTCTATTTTTGAACAACTGTTAACAACTTTTTTGCTCTGATGTTACTTATTTGAGAGAGGATAATAACTTCTGAATACTGTTCTCCAAACAGTAAGACTTTGATGTATTGACCTAAATTCCACTGAAATTTCTTAGGTTAATTTAAAATGGTTTCTAAAGCAAACCCTGTTCATCAAACCTTATTAGGTAATTAGTGTCGGTCAACATTCCTTAATAAAATGAAAAATAAAACCATGTAAGTTAAAATCTCCATACATTTTTATTCTTCCATGTGCATTTAGTACTGAGAAATATATTTGTCTTAAGTAGTTTGCACATATCACAAAAGATGGTGGGGGAAAAAGGAATGCAGATATCAAACAGCATCACGAAAGCAAATTGCCCTGCGCTGTAATATTAAGTAAAAGCACTGCCCACTTGTGAAACAATGGCTTTTTGCTGCTATCCTTAGAGTTCTTCTTTGTAATCTCACTAGGTTCTTGGTCACGTGAACAAAGCAAAACAACAGAAATAAGATACTTTATTTCTTTAACCAAAAGAAATGCATTTATTCAAAATGCACAAATATATTGATTATGCTTCTTCAATAACTTGTTTGGATCAGGAACTTCCCCCTACTTCCCCTCACCACCCCCCTGCCCCGAGACTAATTTTAGCCTTCGAGAAAACTTACAAAGATAGTACTGAGAATTCCTTGTGTATTCTTACCCAGGGTCCCTTATTGTTGATGTGCTGCAAAACCACGACACACGTAAACAACAACACACTTTGCTCTAATTTCACCAGTTTCCCCCCTTATATCCTTTTTCTGTTCTAGGATCCCATGTTGAATTTGGGAGCCTCACCTTCTGATCCGTTTCATCATCCTCATCTTGATACTCATCGCTGGGTGGACCGGAGCTGGCGAAGGTGGGTCCCTGGGAGTAGTACTGAGAACTCCGGTAGCCATCTCGTCGCAGCTTATCACATTCTGCAGGGGGCACAGGGCGGGAGGGAGAAAGGGCATTAAGAACCAGGGTTTCTTTACTCCGCTTTATTTACCGTTTCTGGTAACACTTTCCTGGGCATAATAAGACTTCAACATAATAACAACATTAAGAATGAAATGATAAAAATGACTAAGAATTATATATACTGCAACTACTACTATACATTCCAGGCCATGTTCCTATACTTTGCAGGGACCACCTTCAAACCTCACAGCAACCCTCCGGGTCAATTTCTGACACACAACAACTGCTTATATAATTCCACGTCGAAACTCATGAGCAAGCTGGGCTTGTTTCCTAGACTCGTCAGCTGGAAGTGGCATGAGAAATCATTGGTGGTAATGCTCTCATTTGTAGTTCTCGTTTTAACTTTGGTGCCAACCAGCCTATAGTCATTGTGCTGAATTTAATATGAATCTGGTGGCAGTCTGAGATGCCTGCCGGCCCACAGAGGAATGCCTGGCACCACCGAGTGGCAGGTAAGCAGGAGGCCTGATGCCCTGGGGAACTGGGAACCACACCACTGGCTGGCTGCTGAGAGACTGGGCATTGTCTTCAAGGAGGACCATTGCGCTAATTACTGTCATCAGTGGGGGAATGCAGCTTTTTAAAACCCCAGTTCCAAAGGCTTTTTAAAACCCCAGGAGCTGCTGGTGGGCGTGGTTCAGTGGTTGAGTGTCACCTATGGGACAGGAGGCTCAATCCCTGCAACCCTGGCATGTGCCCTGACCAGGAATAAACTGACCTCCTGTAGAGGGCGTGTAGGAGCCAGCTGATCAATGATTCTCATCATTAATGTTTCTATAATATCTCACTCTTCTCCTTTCCTCTCTGAAATCAACAATAATATATTTTTAAAAATAATAATAATAAAGCCCCAGGAGCTTTCCCATTACTCCGATGCCACCTTAGAGGAGGAGCATTTGTCTTGCAACAGCATTTGCCACAGGGTTCCTTTAATTATTCAGCTTGCTAAAGGAGTGCCAAATGTGTGTGCCGTTGGAAAAGTTTCCTCTTTGCACAGCTTTACAAAGCCATGTACGTAAAAGCACAGAACCAAAGTAGGCCATCTTCAGAATTCTTTTCTAACACTGGGATCTATGATTCTTCTTCAAAGAGGAGACAGTAGTTGCATTCGTACATGGATAAAAATTCTCCAACCAGGGAATAAAAAACCCTCTCTTTAGCTACCACACAGTGGGAGTGGAAAGTTTCCAATCCCGGGCTACAAATCAGAGTTTTAAAAAGCCCACTGAAAGAGCCATGAGGATCTTTTAGAATGCCAGCTAGCCCTGGCCAGGTGGCTCAGTTAGTTGGAGCATTGTGCCATACACCAAAAGGTTGTGGGTTCGATTCCCGGTCAGGGCACCTATAATTAATTGATCTCTCTTTCTCTCTCCCTCTTCCTTTCTCTCTCTAAAATCAATAAACACATCCCTGGACGAGAATTTAAAAACAAAACACAAATAGAATGCCAAGCTAACTTAAAAGTGCATGTGTAATCAAAAGATTGCTAAATATTATTACTTAAGTCACTTATGGGAAAAATAATTTGTGGGCTGAGCTGGCAATCACTATTACTATTGTGTAAAATGGAAATTAAAAAAAAAAAATTCTGAAACTTCCAGAACACACCTTATTTTTTTCATGAGTATTTAACTCATACTAACCTAATTCTTTTCAGTGAAAGATATTTTCACATTTTCTACAATATTTGACAATTTTTCTATAAAAATAAATAGTACAACCAGAATCTATACTAGAGATACTGTTACATAGAACATAATTAGTAGTTTTCAAATGTTATTCTATTATGCAATTCGATATGCAATTTAGGGATTCTGTAAATTTTTTCTTCAACTACCTTAAAGTTAGATTTAAAAAAACAACATAACACTCAAGCTCAATAGTTTTACATTTCATTAGTGTGTGCTACTAAATTAACTTTTCTGTGGTCCTACGAAACTGGAGTCTCCTAAGGATTAAGAGTGCACCTTGTAAAACACACTCATAAAAACTATTACCACTTGCAGCTACTTACCATGTAATTCAAAGACTTGCCAAACGAAACGAAATACCAAGTGAAGGCCAAGGCCCCTTTAAATGAAGTCTTTTCTGTTCGAAAGAGCAGTTTCCCCCTCACCAACTGACCTTATAATAAGTACGTTTGAAATGATACAATGGTATTGTTTTAAGAACCTGCATTGTGTATTGGATACCATGTCAGGTAATGTTTGAAGAAGGTTTCTCTCCAAGGAAGCAAGGATTCGGGAACTAGATCATCTCTAAAGCTGCTATTGGTGACGATATTCTAGAGAAGACTATTAAAATGACAAAAATGACCTGACACATGTTATATTTAAAAAGACCAAAATATTGGAAAATTATTATTCCTATGCTGAAAGCATAAAAGTCTTGAAGTTATTAGTACTTCTAATAATAAACGGTGTGACACCGTTTGACCCTAGTTTAAGAGACAATGCCTCCTTTTATCTCAATGAAGTTTATGTCCCAGAAATGTTTAAATACTCATATAACGAACAGCATAGGATATCAAATGCAAGTTGATGTTGGGTCTAAGACTAAGCTAGGTAGTCTGAATTTATGGCAGATCACCAATATTCGGAGTCTTACAGATTTTCTGAAATCTAGTAAACTCATCGGTATCAATTGTCATTTATCTTATCCCAACTCTAGTGGGGAAATGTAGGAAAATTTCTCTTGTCAGGTTGCAACAGCTCTCAGTTTCTAAAACCATGGCTTTGTTCATTAAAAACGGAGTTTATTGTCTGTAGAGTGAGATATAAGTGCAAGCCATCATGAATAAAGAAAGACTTTTCAAACACTCAACGGAGTAACTGCAAGGCAAAGCAGAATTTAATGCCGGGTTATGCCTGAGGCTCCAGCGAGAAACAAGATACTAAATGTAATAGAAGATCTGTCTTTAACGTGTGCTCCTCCTGCAACAGAAATTAAGAGTAAAACCCCGTTATTGTTCTCTGGGGCTGCCTGGATAAAGGTGTCACTGTTCGCTGTGTCCTCTGGTTTCCCAGCCACCACTTTCCTCCTCCTTCCTCACCTGTCAAACTATTTTCTTTAGTGCAAGAACAATGAACAAACACTTCTTAGGAGACCAACGTTTTCAATATGGAAGGACAAAAACAATGTCACAGAACGAGACGGTTATCTAACCATACCGGGAATTTAAGACTTCTCTGGCTTCCAAACGTTCATGCCGTAACGCTGTTCTTCAGGCTTTTCGTTTTAACAGTTTAGACATGGTAAGAGAGTCTCCTGAAAGATGCTTTAAAGAGTTACTTTCCCAAATAATTTTCTCTACTGGAAACTCCTGGTGAACTTCCACTTTGTGTATTATGTCCTTTAATTTGTTGAATCAGCCACAATACACTAGAATTTGCAGTGGATACAGAGTTCCAACATTTCAGGGGCTCAACGCAACCAGAGGATTCTTTGCTGCACACATTCCCCTTATCTCCCCATCCAGGCTGAGCAGGCAGGGGTTGTGCTCACCACACTCACAGCTCCTGCCCCCACCCCCAGCTCCTGCCCCCACTTGTGCTGGGACAATCCGCATTTCACACCTGCTCTAGGAACCTCTGCCAAGGACCCAGGGGTTATTTCCGCTACTGTTTCTTTACACAAAACAAACCCCATGGCCATACCTTCACAGGGGACAAGTAAGAGCAATCCTACCTCATAAGCAAGGGAGAAAATGAGAATATCCAAAAACAACTCTAATAACTCTTCCAAACAGAGGAATAACATGGAATCTAAGCTCTTCCTGATTCCTGATACCATTCTCCTAACACGTACTTGATGTTTTATTTCCCTCCCCTGAACGAGGCTGAGAGGCTTTGGATGTGAAATATGTAACAGTAACAAGAGGTTAACCCTCTGTGTTTCAGGAGGCTGACCGAGGGGGACACTGCATGGAGGAGCCCCTTGAATGTCTGGAATCCAGACAGACCTGGCACCACTTATACCTCGAGACCTCAGGGACATTTCGCCTCCTGGAAACTCAGGCTCCACCTCTGTAAGCCGGGACGTCACTCCTCCTGCCTGGGAAGCAGCCGTGAGAATCATTCAGCAGCAGACCCAAGGCGCTGCTCTCCGCGGGGAGGCTAGGTGAGGGTAAGCCGGAACCTGGCACAGACCGCTCGCTCTATGTGGCAGATGCTCAAACACAGCCATTGCTGGCAGAATATACCACGAAACCATAACTACCTCAAACTCTCTCACTTTTAAAAGCCAGTAAGCAAGTCCAAGATTTGCTTGGCTGCACAATTCTTTAAATTTCTACCCTTTTTTACAAAGCTGTTGTTTCCATCTTTATCAAAATATCATGAGGCTGTGTTTTTTCCTAAGGATGCACCAAGCTTATATCATACGGGGATTCTCGTACTGTCAAGAGCCTGGATATTTAGTTGTAACTGCTCTCAATCCAAAATAGAGCTAAAATATGTTAACTGATTTATCTGCAGAACGTATAGTCATTAATTGTTTTTACATAGTAACCTGAAGCCTTCTACAGACATTTTATATAGGAAGGGTATCAGCCAGGTGGGTGGTGAATGTATTGAAATAGCGTAACTACTAGAGCAAGGGCAGTATTCAGGCTCCTTGATCTGAAAGGATGTGTTAGGAGTTGAACTGTGTCCCCCAAAGAGAGATGTTGAAGTCCTAATCCCTGGTATCTGTACATGTGACCTTGTTTGGAAATAGGGTCTTCCCAGCCACCGTTTCTTTCCATGATGCTCTAAGCTTCCTGCCACAGGAAACAGATATATTTGTCTTATGAATTATAAGCCCAGGTGTCAAATTTCTGGTAGATCCAGATTTCCAAACTCTTATCCTAGTACTTTATCCATCAGATTATCAAGAACAGTTAAAAAACAAGTTCTATTGTATGTCTTTATCCAGGACCAGAGGAATAAGAGCACATAAATCTACAATCATATAT